AACAGCCAACCAATCAATCATGTAAATTGATTAATCCATCAATCACTCATCCAATCATCCATTCAATCAATCAACCAACTATTTATAGCCAACAATCATTCAATCAACCAGTCAGTCAATCAATCAACCAACTATTTAGCCAACAATCAACCAATCAATCAATTAATCAACCATTTAGTCTACAACACTTACCAATACTCAATATTGTAAAGAAGAATCTTGACAGCGAACCATCAATTTCAGTCACTCCTTGGTACTAAAAAACAAATTATAGATTATATATAATAGTATAATATTGACAAAATATAAAAAGAATGCACAAAATAATTCAAGGAAAACAGTTACCCCTTTATTTCTGCCACTGAATAATTGTCTTTGATAGGGATTGGGTGCTGATACAGTGCTGGCATGCCTGAGCCATCGAGACATTTGGTGGCATATTAGACCAATGTCATCTAAAGAAACACAAATTATAATAATAATATGCTTAAATAAATAGAATAAATAATGACGTGATTATAATCATATAAACACTACTGCAAGTGCACACAAGGTTGTCAGGGGCTGCTTTTTGAAGTATTTTTTTTGCGAGTATACTTCATTTTCATGGGTATGACTGCACTGTTATTTTTTTTATTTTCTCTCCATCATTTTGACTTTTTATAGGTTTGGGCTTCCTGTTTTATCATAACTGTAGGCCAAAGGTAATCCAAAAGTATACCAAAAGGGAAAATTAAGCAGCCTTTTGAGGAGGCAAGAATGCACCCACACATCTTGGATATACATACATGTAGTATATTTATAGCTTATTAAAAATACTGAATACTTATTATATTACCAGGAGATATTATGTCTTGGTGAGAAAAAAACATATTGTTCAGGCTTCCAAGGGCTGTGGTTTGAAGTTCAACTGGAATTCCACCACTTGTAATCCACCTAACATGATAAATAACATAATTATTGTATCTCACGAAACTTAATCAACAATTATCATTATTGGTAGTACAATGTCACTACTAATGTAGTACACAATATTGAGAGTTAGTGATGATGGCAGTAGAAAGTTTCATCCCATTATACATGCCATGATTACATATAGAGAATATTATATGGGTATGCGGAGATACGGATTTTATCTTCTCGTGTTGAAAAGATCTCTCACGAGTGAGAGTAGCAAAAAAGTGAGAGATCTTTTCATATAATTACATATGAAAGCAAATGATGTCATAAAATACCTTTTTTCTTATTCTTAGATAATTATAATGATAAAGTACTTTATTAACTCAGTGTGAATTACAGCAAGACATCAAGAGTTTGAGGATGCAATGCATAATTAATACATTTATATCTTACTTGATCAGCAATGGCATATGATTGGACCAATAACCCAAATCCTTTCCCTAAAAAATATTAATAAAGTAACATAACATGCTCTAAACAAATAGTTCATTACAACATATATAAGTGGATTAAATAGTAAGATATATAATTTGTATTATGAAAAAATTATGCTCTTGGCATACCAAGAGTTTCTCTTGCTTCTCAAGTGCTTTTCAACTCCCACTATGTTTATATCAGAGGACAGAGAAACAACCGGCTGTTTTATAGTTCTTTTATAAAATTTTTCTGAGTTTCTGGGGCAAAAACAAATTTTGCCAGTAAGCCGTGTCTCTGTCCTCTGATGTAAACACGGTTGTAAGCCAATCAGAGCGTGTGTTATATATCAAAAATTTTATAATTAAAATATACTGTAGTAGTGCAGTAAATCAGTGAAGTTTTCTGGAAAAAAAAGACAAAGGACAAAAATATTTATATTTTGAATGCACTCCACGATGTAACTAAATGCATATGTACCCACCTGGGTTAAAGCTAAAGGCAGCAATATRGGTATACTTTGTTGATCAACTGGTGGGTCGATACTGTTTATATTAAGCTGTGATGATGGGGTCACCTCTCGTAAGACTGCTGAACATAGCAGCTTGAACTTTCTGGAGCCCTGTTGTGGTTCTGAGACAACTTCATTTAGACATTCAATYAAAAGGTCTGGTATGCTGAAAAAATATAAGAAAGAGTTTAAGAACCGAATGGGAATGAAAATCGCCAATCAACAAGCTAAAAGTCTGTGTCATACATTGAATCGCGTGTCCAAATAGACGAGTTGAGATATTTTGGTTCAGTGACCATGCACAAAAGAATTGCAGAYGAGGCTCCGGGGAAATAAAGAATAAATCAATATTATCCATTGATAATTTTATTTTTTTTATATTTCAAAGAGTTATTTTGAAGTGCACGCTTCAAAATGACCAATCAAAGAGCGTATATTATCGTTTTATTCTTTATTTCCCCGGAGCCTCGTCTGCAATTCTTTTGTGCATGGTCACTGAACCAAAATATCTAAACTCGGCTATTAAATTCACCTTTGATTCATATTGCTTGCACTTGAATTCATGTGAGATTTGTTTTTACTGTTATTGCATATCAACTTATCATCAGCATCTTTTTAAATGTTGTAATCATTGCAGCAATCTTTATCATTGCTCTTAATATTTTTCTTTGAGAGGATGATTGCCATGCATATTATAAACGCGATATCATTGCTGCATTTGGTCAAGCCATGCTTGAAAAAAAAAATCACGATTTACAAGCAAGAAAACATTTATATCATACTGTCTTCTCCTCCTTGTTGCGGCCAAGATTAAAAATAATCGCCTCAGTTGACTRACACACTCTGTTCCTCTATCACCTCGATGCAGTAAGCCAACAATCTTATTACATAATTGCTGCAATTCGGCGTCATCAAGCACTCTATTCAAACAGAATGAATAAATATCAGCTTGTTTACAAATTTTTCATGTTATCTCAATTATATGCAATGAAATGCTGCAGCAATACCTGGCTTTTTTTATTACACTAGAAGGATCTCTTCCTCCTCCGTCCGCCATGTTGTCATTTCATAAAATACCGCTGGCTTGGTGAGTCTGCRCTAGGCAGCACAGGAAACCCAAACAAACCCCTTGCGTGAGTGCCTCCTAACTAAATCTTCATTGGCGAAAGAATAGCAAACTGATCTAGATTTAAAATAAACTTTATTCATCACCTTATAGAGATTTACAACCCAGAAGAGTGTCATTAAACCTGTGAAACAAAACTTGTGTGATAGTCAAGTATTGGTGTAATATCTATTTCACGGGTTATTTGACATCGCTATTGATAGCATGGTAATAAAATTTTGCATTTAGTCGAGATTCATTACAATAATGTATCATTAGATAAATATMTTTTAAATATAATATTTAGTTAGCATTAGTTTTATATTCGTTTTCTGCACAAATAACTTGTCTTTTTCACAACCGGCCGTTTCTTATTTGCCTATAAAAGCGTATCATCCTCTGAATWTTATCAATCACTTCTACAATTCCATACACTCCATATCAAAAGCTACAATTATTTGACGTCAAGGCTACGGTGCGTTTGCGCCAGAAATGTTGTATGTTCTGTAAGCATTACGAAACTTAAGCGCATTACTTTGGCGAGTTGTATTATATTTTATGTTATGCAGGCAACATCTTCGTAAAAATAATCTTTATGCATAGAGCGCATTCCCGTGAAACAAAGACTAACTGACAATGGAATTAGAGTGCACTAAAGTTATGTTGTCATATCTATTTCACGGGGTTTTAATCTAACKCCTATTTTGATAGTCTCCTCGAAAACGTTTTCGCTTTGGCTTCCTGACCCATCGGAGAAATTGACAAATGGGTCACATGCTAGAAATAGTCTGTCTATTTCCCATCTCGGAGGGAAGCCACAAAAAAAAAAAAAAAAAAAAACGGCTCTAAGGGGACTATTTCATTATGATCACTTAAATCCATTTCTCTCGCATGATCTCGTGCAATTTTTGAATAAAAAGGCATTGGATCGAGGTAGTTATTCATCTTTGGAAAGACATGCACCCAGGCCACTCTCGACCATAGCCTCCTTCAACTGTTTTAAACAGCTTTCAAGGCTTTTTTGGAAGCCTTTTGAAAGAGGAAACAGAGGATACTCAGGAAGTTTAAATGTCTCTGGATTACAGCATGCTGCTGCAGCGGCTCCTTGAGSCTCTTCATCAATTCTTTCGTTGTGGTTTTGTGGCTTTTCTTCAGGAGGAACAGAGCTTTCATTTCCGCTTGGATCATTGTTTTCGGCATTTGAATCATTTGGGTTCTGTTCTTCATTCATATTTGGCAGTTTTTCCTGTTGCTCATCGCTAATGTTGCATGGTTTTTGTTCAAGGGATTTTTGAGATTCATCTGTTTGTTTTGTCTGATCTAGTATGCAGTTAGTAGCTGTAGGGACGTCGTCTTTATGCTGAAGCCACCAATTGAATTTGCGCAATAAACTAAAGCAAAAAATACGGACATTCAAAAAAAGATATTAGAGTGCATGCAGTCCACGGCGCGCAAAATGAAGAAGGAGAGATGGAGAGAGAAAAAACGACAGCTACAACAACAACAACAACAACCGCAGCAACAACAATAGCCTGAGTCTCAGGCTCTCTCGAAGGGATTTCTCGCTTCACCTTAATGCCCTTCGAGAGAGCCTGATATTCAGGCTACAACAACAATAACAAAAACAAAAATGGACAAGCAAACAAAGAAAAAAAGTGAAACAAATGTTGATACGATCGTTCGCCTTCGGCTCGTGATATCATACAATCACCTTTATATCATATCTATTGTATAAAAGAAAATAAACCTAAGCCAAGAACATTACTTACTTACATGGGAACATGCTCAATAAAGTGCTGGCGGATCTCTTTCTCAAAGCCAAATGGTGGCTTTGAAATCATTCGAGCCATAGACTGAAGTAGTTTCAAGATGGCCATCTCGTTGTAAAGACGGCTATTTTCTAATCCTTCTTGAGTACCGCGTTGTTTTTCGTACCCTGCTTCGTTATAGTATGGCTCGCTGCTCAGGATAAGACCTGGAAAGATAAGAGAAAAAAAGTTATGATATTGTGTTAAGCTAGCGATATGATCAGGGATGAAATTTTCTATTAATAAATGGAAGATAAAAGCGTGGCAGGGAATCTTGATAAATTTAGTTATGAAGCTTTCCCAAATCAGTTATAAATAGATTAAGTAAAATAGATATAATATAAATAAATTTAAGTTATATTCTACCATCGACACAAGCAATGCTTATTGAGTAAGTTTTCCCCTAAAGAAACACTTCCCCTTGTAGAATGGACTTCCATGATTTAGCAAATTAGGAAGTGAATGAATGAATAGAAAATGAAAGGCAGAAAAGAGGAAAGGAAAGAAGGGAAAACAACTGCCGACCTTTATAGTTCATCGCAGTGATCGACATCTCAGAATAAATTACGTCGCGCATCAACTTACCCTGTATTGAAATCAGTACTTGAAGGAGACTCGATTTAGGGGTCCATACTTCGCTTCCTTTGCCTGACCATGTYCCAAGTAGACTGACACACACTTTACCATCTTCATACAAGTTAGGATTGAGACGACCAGAACACATTGACAAGTAATGGAATTGTGGAGGAGTGTTTGGGTAGTTGGGTGTGAGTCGAACATCGAATAAAAATAGACCATGTTCGTACGGCGTACCTACGGGTCCTGAGATCATCACTCGGTAAAGATCCTGTAATGAAATTGTATGGTTAATTCTCGTTTAATCTAAAGTAGCGAAGGTTACGTTTACAGGAAAGACTAGAAAGCGAGGTTTCACGAAATACYTTAATTTTTAGAATGCTAACTGTTAAAGATATGGTCGCGCGAAACTACAACGTGATAGAATTACGTCGAACATGCATAGTAAAAACAACCACAACAACAACGACAACAACAACATAGGCAGAAGCAGATGGTGTAGATATATCACTCCAGTTAGTCGTATGAGGAAGTGGCTGATCCCATTAAAGAGTGCTCAATACACATAAAGTGTAGAGTTAGTTATATATATGATATAAAAGAGGCAAGATTTTGCTGTAACTCCGAGTTACGTGCTACGCACTCATCAGACAGTATTTAATATTAAATTAATATATAGTATTTATTAAATACTGTTTGATGAGAGCGTAGCACGAAACTCGGAGTTACAGCAAAATCTTGCCTCTTTGATATCATATATATTACTCCAGTTATGGAGAAGTAACAAAAATGTTTGAAGTCAACAAAATCACTTATTCGGTTAGTGATGGTAACTTWAGATAGAACTTTCATGTGAGATTCAAGCATACGTACCACGCGATCCTCRAAACTCCTGACCAGGATCCCCGAGGGAAGGGAGCTGTGGAGGAGGGCTAACTCTTTTTGTATCGTCATCATGAAYTTTCGTTGRTTTTGAGCCATAAATGGAAAATTYTTGAAATGYTGCTCATCTGGTGTGTTCTCTAGTATCATGAAAGCTAAAACAAAATAAATCAGTACAAGAAGAACTAGTAATGTGTGCGTAATATAAGGAAGCGAGCCCACTTWCATTGCGCATGCTCTAATACGATTTTCAAGCCTATCCCACATGGTTCATTGCCTCTTCTCGTGTCAACAATTAATATTACGGTGTGAGTAGTTGATTTTTTTCGTTTTCAAAAGTAAAATTTGTAGAAGACATGCATGTAGAATTTTGAACAATAACTGTAACGGTTACAGGGCATTTTACTGGCTAAAACGCTGGCAATTGCATTTATTTTCTCTCCAACTTTACCTGAATTCCTATTGGATAGCATCACGTTGATGGCGTTGTAATCTAGAGGATTCTTTTTTTCAGTAGTCTGCTCCTTATTTTCTTCATTCGCTGTGGCTTCTTCACCGCTTTGCCTTTCTCTGCCATCAATAGATGTATCAATTACTCTGTCATCGTGATCATGTGGTCCTTCGTCGCTACTTTCGTCACTAGCCGTTTCCCATTCGTCATCGCTGTTACCATGGTGATCATGTTCATCCATGCCTTGTGAGTGGTCGTCGTCCTGTAAAATTTAAGTCGAAATAATGCGTGACCCTATCGTGATAAAATGGCGATACCCACGTGACACAAAATGGCGTACTGGCACAAACAATATAGTTGGTACATGTAGAATTGCAAAGTAAAGCATAGAGTCAATTTCGTATGAGTGGGAAACGGACGGTACTGTACTGTGACCGTAATGTTCTGTAACCAAATTCTAGTGTCTCATTGCTTCACAAAAAATGGTGCAGGCCAGGTCCGGTAACTGTGCGGTAATTTCTACCGTAGGTTTCCCACTTATACAAAATTGACTATAATTAACCAAAGCAAAAAAAGACAGTAGAAAGGGACTTTGAATTATAAGAATGAATAGAGTAGCCTCACAGAAGGTAAACAACAGCAAAACCAAATCAAAACCAAAGCAAAGCTAAAGGAAAGACAGCAAGTCAATTCACAGCCGGATTTACACACAGCAGAGCAAGAGAAAGTTATCTTGATCGTAACTCACTTCTGTATCGACTTTATAAAGTTCTTGTGGTATGACGCATGAAGACGTGCCATCTACCCAAAGTATGTTCACCCGGCCACTTTCGTCTACATTGATAACCTATTTAAACAAGTAAAACAACATAAAAATGTCAAAATTACGACTCACTCTGACAAATTTAAGCGGGACACCCCCCGGTAAATTTCCGCATCTGCCATTGAAAATAATATCAGTCTTACCTGTCCAATACAAGTTGACGACGATGAAGATGGTGACGTGCAATAGTCAGGGGGGACCATACGTACGACTACATCTCCCGAGTTGAAAATGAAGTCCGAATGTTCGGCGATGTCGTAGACACTGACGTCACGTTCAATGGACAGCTCCAGTCCCTCACGGGTAAACCACTTGACGTCACAAGTACGYGCGTCAAAATCACATGTCAAGATACTGCCGTAGACTGTAGAATCTGCTGAGGCTGAAAACACAGACAAAAGCTTTTGTTGTTTTTCTTTTTTTCCAGGAAGGAAGACAGAACCACGCAGAGATGGTTGGGGAATAAGAGTAAAGATTCTTTTTAATAGTAGTTTTGAAATAATATAATGAAATCTGGATTCAGTCAACTCTGCATTGCACATAGTCCGATATAAAAGCCACTTAAATCGATTCCTGATCCAAAAAACTTATTCACTCAATGCCCCGACGGTAACGATACAAGAAGGTTTTATTGGAAATGTGCATTTAAATCATACCTCGTTTATCATTGACATAATCGCCTGGAAAGAATTCATGTTCGTCCAGATGAAACACGGGTGTGAGGTGCGTTGATAGGATYCCTGTGGTCTTACGTTTGTCTTGCCATACCACATTCACTGTCGTGTTGGTGGACACCACTTCTACGCAGACMCGATCRCCAACATTAACTTGCATATGCGGAATAGTCTTGCGTTTRCGCTTAGCTCTCTTCCGTCTACGTTTGACAGGRTTCCTTGCAGTGGAAGAMCCAGAATCRTGCTTTGWTCCCTGAGAGGRRCCTTTTGAYTTMGGKGCCCCATGGTCTCCACCATCAGGGTCCTCATCTGTTGAGTCTGATAGCGTCCCRGTAGGACCAGAATCGTCCTGATTGGTTCCTTTTTGCTTTGAATCGTCTTGTAAACTAGTRCTTTCGCCTTCCCCTTGTGTCTTGTTATCAACTTGATTTTGKGTGTGCTTTGCGGCGTGGTCATCGCCATGGGGTTGGGATGCAGAGTTGTGTGCTAGACCATGAGCAGCCAATTGGAGATCTGATTCTTTTACCGTGTAAAATGCCTTGTCTCCCATTTGAATGCTAGCGTGACGATTATGGTTGATCACTCTGACCCTTCACAAAACAACATTTCAGTCTATAACTGTCYAATTACAGAATATATGAAGAGAAAACACACTTGGGGTGCTTAAAATGCAATCCTATTCAAAGAGTAATCTTTTATTTATTACCCTCACCTACTAAGCTGTTCTCCGGTGACAGTAGATCTTGGCGGCGAAAACATGGAGCTGTCATCGATACTACAAGCACCACAAACTTGCCAGTTCACCTCACAAGACACAACAGTGATCTGAAACACAGCATCAACCATGAACTGAGTGGAATGATAGGGACAGAAAYTAAAGAGAAGGGAATGGAATAGAAAATGAACAAAATGAACGAAGAATAGAAGGGAAAGGGATTGAATTAAATGCAGTAGAATAGAGCAGTACAGAGCAGAGCAGAGCAGAGCAAAGACAACGGAACAGAAGAGATCAGAACAAAACAGAGCAGAGGAGAAGGGAACAGAACAGAAGAGAACAAAACAGTACCTCTTCTACAGTAGCCTTCACATGAGATTGATTATGCATAATAGGTTTTACACCAGACAGCCACTTGGCATCTTTGAATACTTTCGATGGACCAGCAACAATTTGACCTGGATAGAATGTTTCTGAATAGAATGGAGATTCCTGAAAAACCATCAGTACTATAATCAATGATCATATTTTATTGTAAATGAATAGGAAATATGTTGCAGAGGACTCTACATGGAAATCTAGGGCTTCAATTGAATATGACTGTGTAGTTGCATCAAGGAGTTTTCATCAGAAGGGTCCACCACCCTGCTAATTTTGGAACTTCTTTCTGATATTTTAATGTAGACAGTTTAAGTGCGTCTGTGGTCTACTTTTAAAATAAATGAAAACCCTGGTGACATATATTATGTTATATACCAGCTATAGGTTGGTCCGTATAGGAAAACACTGCCCGAGGTTTTGAAAGTACGGAACCAGAGCAGTGAGGTCCGTACATAAAAGACCAAGGGCAGTGTTTTCCTATACGGACCGACCTACATATAGCCAGTAAATAACATTCCCCTTTTTTTATTTGTATTTTATGCAACTTCGCTCGCAGCCTAGCTGCAGGATACCGTGGACCGGGCAGCTTGTGAAAAACCAATCACAGAGCGCGAATGACTAGGATACCAGACCAAAAAAAAAATAAGGTGTTACAAGAAACTTTAACCAAATACGGTCCTGTTATATACCTCATCTCTTTGGTCAGTCATGTCATACAAAACTTCTGTCTGTTCACCCTCTAAGGAACACCTGCAATAGAAAAAAAATTGTTATTTTGACTTATCATATAATTATCTATGAAATACCTATATTTCTCCATTTTCGTAAAGTTGTTATTTTCACTAGAAAAAACACATTCAAGGTTTTTCTATATAGTGGAAGTAAGAAAGAAGGTATTTTACGACATCTTTTGCTTTCATATGTAAAATTTATATGATAAACAGAATATTACATGGTTGCTTGGAAATACAAATTTTATCGTGTTGAAAATCTCTCATCTCACACTTACTTAATGTTGATGTTGATGATGTGTTAGTAATGATAACAATGAAAAAAAAATTCGATAAAAACCAACCTTGAGCCATTTTTTTTCATTTTTAAAACTAATTTTAAATGAGATTCTGTCACAATGCCAAGCCAAGGMCCCAGGGATACATGGACTCCAGGTATAAGCTCCTAAAAATAAAAGTGAAAGAGGTCAAAACAAAGACTTGAAATGTTCAGGAGCATAYATACTGTACCTGTAAAGGCTTTAGTTCTCTACAGTCTATATTCTTGACAATCTGACCTGCTGCCAACACTTTGACACTTGCTGTAACTTCAACATCACTAACAAAACCCTTCTGCTTGGAGAGATTCGGGTTGGCAAGTTTGACAACATCTCCAGGGAGTAGAGAACGATCTGCTAGCTGGACCTGTATTTGGATTCACAATAGAGTATCACAAATTTAAACAAGAAAATAAAATATGAGCAAAAAGAAATGGAATTTTAGTATTTGCGCTTGAGTACAATGAGTATAAAACCATACTAAACAAATAAATAAATAAATGGAGAAAACAAATGAGCAACAAAATAATGAATWATATAAAAAATAAGTCTATATGAAATAAAAAAAAAATAGTTAGTGTATTCCAAGAGCTATAAAGTAGAAACTATTTTGTATACTGTATTAAACATAGGGCACCCTCGAATAATTAATATATAATTGAAACATTGTAATAAAAATCAAAATCAAATAATGTTGGACTACTAAATTTAACATACCGTTATTGTGTTMAAAAGAACACGAACAAGACACAAGTATAAATACAAGCAGGTTCAGAATTCATGCTTGACTTCCATACGATGACGATGCTGTTTACAAATTACATTTCACTTGCATTTTACGAAAAAATCGACATTAGGTTTGATTTAATTCCAAAGATGTATTCAAATCATATTTTGCTAGAATAATTTTAAGAGCAGATAAATCTTATTCTAGAACATATAAGTCTTTTTGGTTTAAAAAATCATCGAAAATTGAAGGACGATACCTGGGAGTCAAAACAGGAATTTTTAACAAGTTCTAACCTTCGAGATCGATAAAGTTTCTTCTTGACCCGATGGATACCAACACACTAGTATTTGACCTTTTTTCAACACTTCATCTTCACTGTCTGATTCATCGCTGGTTTCTTCGGCATCTTGAAGCACTAAACCTAGAGTTCCATGAGAATTTTTCACGATATCCTCTGAGAACGGCGAATCCGCCATGTTTTTCAAGTTTCGGTAAGAGGGCCTCGGTAAGAGAGCAGTAGTGTCCAGTCTACCACTTGAGTATYTAACCACAGGTATACCAGACAAAATGAATTAGACCAGCAGAACTGCCAATGACTTTTTTTTAGAAATAAAAAAAAATAATAATAATTTCTCATATATTAATCTTATAGTTATAATATATACTTTCTGCCGTTGTTCATTATATTTCTATATTAGTTTTAAGGCAGCAATCTTTATTGAACGGGCTGTGTAAATACTAATAACGGATTGGCAATCGTGACGTTTTTTTTTCCCCAATATTGTATAGTGTTGGGAAAAGCCGGAAGCAAATTAAAACGTTAGTAAAAAAGGCTTTTTATGGAACTCCTGAGTCATACTAATTTTGTCGTGATAATTTCCTCTTATATGAATGTATTGAATTCCAGGGGGACCTAGAAATTTGTCAGGGGGGAGTCTCAAGAGAAGAAATGCATAAACATAGTTCATACTCATTTCAGTCTTTTCATTTTTTGACAGATCGATGACTCATCATTAGTTGAAGTAACGTTAGGAAAATAAGTCGAGAACAACAAAGACTTTGGAATTTCAAGGGTCGTGAAATTTTAATTAAATTGTCATGTAAGAACGAACGGATCGAATGTTTCATCATTCATTACACGTGACAACATTGTACACCTGAGGCGTTTATCATATATAATGATATATTACTTATGTGATATAATTGTTTCACTTGTACTTTCGACATTATATCTACATCTCGGTTTGRTATAAGAGCGCGGAATGTAAAATTCGATTCCATTCCGACTCAGGAGCTGCACTGGACAAACGATTGATATAGGCTCACGTGATTTCAAACTAATACCCAGCTGATCTTCGTTAACTTGATTGCAATTGATTGACACTCGTCGTATTATGACACGATCACGCGCGCCTTTTTCGTCGAGATCATTTGAGCATGAAAGCTGTGTACATCTCGCTTGTCTTATTAAAGAAATCGAGGATATTGATTGAAGTTGGTGGCTTTTAGCCGAGAATGGAAACATTAGGTGAAAAGAATTAAAAGGACTTGAAATAATTGCTTTTAAATAAATGTCACCTGACTATTATATTTGTTTTCTGTTGAGGACACGCTCTTAAAAATGACATCATATGCTAAATATAGAATACATAACATAATTTTCGCTTTACTTAATAGTCGAACATTCTCCGTCTGGAGTTTGGATATATTTTGACGCTAAGCTAAGATGCGACAGCTTTTCAAGACCATCGGTCACTTTTTTGGGGGAATTCAGTTTTGCCCACGTGTTGAGAGTGTCCACAAAACCAAACAAAAGTACCACAACATATTATTATTATCACACTCTGCGATCATGTAATACCACTATGTACAAAATTGACAATTACGTAACGCTTTCTAATGATAACAATTAACGATCAAGTCTTCGAATGAAAACGAATCGAACGTTTTCGATGATGTAGCAATTAATAATTTTATGTTATGATCGATCATGCATTTGTAAAATACAAATCTGTCTCATTTGAGTCATGACGCCAGTGCTATGCTTTGTCTGTCCAAATTCGAAAGGTCATCGAAAGCTGGCAGTCGTTCAACTATTGCACAAACCCTTGTAGTGACAAAGGAAACGTATAGAAAACTGTCTGAATGAGAGATTAGCTTTTTCGCAGTGAACTCAAATACTAGTAACTTTCGTAAAGTCAAAATTACTCGTAAAAGACCATCCGCAGATTTCAATAGCCCTATTGCTTTAAGAACAGAAATCTCACCGATCGAATTGATTATTATTCACGTCACAATGCTGAATAGAATTCATATTTTTTTGTTGGGCAGCTGAGACTACAACACATTGGCCCCTCGGGCATTAACTCTATCAAATCATCAATGYGAAGCCAGTTTTCCATCAGTGAACCAGTCTTCCTTGATAAAAAAAATCGAAACCATCTTAAACTTTGTCGAAAACAATCTTGATAATAAAGCCATTCCTAATAAATATCAATTTTTGGCCAGTTGGCATGGAATAACGATGGCGATGCAATCAGTCCAGTCGTGTACAGAAGATGATACGACGTTCATACAATTCATGTTAAGTCATGTTGAAATTGATACAGAATTGGAAGCACTGGTGATCTTAGTGTTTTCTTGTTTTAAACAAGAGGTGTCAAATATCGAAAAAGTTGACAAGGTTCTGCTGTCCTGATTGGCAAGCGTGGCAGTAGGATCTGCAGGGGGCATGGTTTTAGCCAATTAGCATGCTCGTCTTTGTATAGAACTAAGCCCAACATCTCACTATGAGTGGGCCCACAGAACTACAGCTTCACGTTTTCCGCCTTTGAGCAGCACTGCTTTCAATTGACGAATTTACCAACGCTCGCAGAATGCCTGGATGAATTTTCATCGTGTTTTCGTTTAGCTGAAGGGATTCGGAGTCTGAAATAATGGACAGATCTCAAGAAAAAGCTATATCTTCGCAGGCAAAATTACTAACACTAGATCAAAGTGCAAATATTCATCAAAAACTTCACGACAATCAAGCAGGCATCAACAGAACCGTTCAAAGGAAAATTTCTGGTGATTCTACGATCGAAACTCTAGCTTATGTTGATGGAAGRAGTGTTAGTGATGGTCCAAATAACAGAAAGCCAGAGCAGTTGATTTCTCCTTTACAAGCACAGTACTTCAGCACGCTCGGTAATTCTGGTAAGTCGATCCGCGCGGTTCAATCCAGCAATTTTCAATAATTAATTGCGTAAATTTGTCCGAAAAAGTGTCCTCAAAGTATTCGATCTGAATTTTGCCGACTGAACCATCAACACTAAGACAAATCCTAGATATTGGTGAACGTTTTCGAGCAAAATAAACTACATTTAAAAGGGAAAATTTGATGACACATAAGGAGTTGTTGCGAGACACCAACATATGGCATTGTATTACTGATGGCTGCATTCCCTAAACTTTTGCCGTTTTTCCCGCGTYTGGCCGTGATCTTTTGACTATTCTATAATTTTCCGTACACTAACATTCATAGATTCATCTGAACACGCCAATTTTTTGGATGATTTTTTGGCGGTTCGAGTGTATTTGTGTCTGCTAACTTATCGTACCAAGTACCTAGAGCTTCGTGTTACGCTGCTATAACTGTCACTGTCGCGGCAAAGGACTCATTCTTCAAAGCATGGTTTGTTTACAAACCTGAACACACCATTTGCTTTAAGCCATGGTTATTAGAAACCAGAGAAATAGCMTACTCAAAATGAATTTATTGGGCTTCGTTCAAGAAGCCAACTGTACTTTGTTCGCTTGTTTAGAATGCATGCATTCACACTGATCAACAACTCCTCGACATGCTATACCATAGAACAATTAAGGCTTTAATATTCCACGCTGTATTCTGTCTGAAGTCAGTTTTTTCTGAGTGGGTTTATGTTAATTTAAGTTTTTTGGATGATTTTGTCGTGTTCTAGAGATATTACAATTATTCCTTGGGTTTGTTTCGTATCAGCTTCGTGTTATGCCCATTCACTGCGGCGACGAACGTTCAGAATTTCATAAAAAGATCTTATCTTACGAGTTCTAAAGTAATTTTCGTCTTAGTATCCGGCTCGAAAAAATTATTCCTCAAACACTACAAAACGAAATAACTGAGAATTTCAGTTTTCCATGTCAAACTATGGATCACATGCAGATGTGCTGTGCGGAAATTAAGAGGAAACCCGAAATGTGGCGTGTACGGGCGGTATTTTTTTTCTAAGATGTTTCCAAAAACCATGTTATTACGTTGTGACTGTTGACCTTATGAAAAATATACATTCAAAGCCTACATATATGATGACTAAGGATTACGGGAAAATTATTTGTTTTCCGATATTCTTTGTATTTTGAGAGCGAGAGGATTGAATAATYGTACCAGTCGGCAATTTAGTTTGAGCAGATTGACGTCGCGCGTCACCAGAAGTAATTATTCAAGATCGAAACATGAATTCAATTCTGTACTATCATGTGTTGGTTGGATTTTGGTGGTGTATTGTTCGACTCTTTAATGAACATGAGCCTTTTTTTTTTGAACGCGCAAACAGGGTTTTAAAACAACAGGAATTTATTTTTACTTAAGTGAGCATGGATTCTTTTTCTAAGTTTCCGTAGTGAGGGAAACGAACGATCGATCAAAAGCATCTTGAAATTGATGAGTTCTTTCATGTCTGTCTTTTGAAAGAAATTTTTATTGTATAATTTATGAATCGTGAGGACGATTAAAAACGCTCTTCGGATTCATCTTCAATTTGATAACCGAAATCTTTGAATAATAACAAAAACCTCTCAGTTCTAAAACACGCAATTCTTGAAAAAAGTAAGCTATGTTATTATAGAAATATTGTTTTGGATAACACGACACTTTTAAATGGACTAAATTTGGCACGCGGTTAGAAATCAACAAGAAAGTGAAATAAACTCCTAGAAGCAATGATCTTCAGCTAAGATCGACAAAAGTGAATGATTTCAATGTTTTGGGCTTTTGCTGTGGCGATCTGGGTCATGCTTTTATCCGTTTGTAGTGTTTTGAATCATCAGAGCATACAAAGACTTTATACAATCATCACATGTTCACTATTCAAAGCCAGTTTAGTGTTTTACAAGGAAACCTTATACTGCGGTATGTCTTATCAATTGTACCTCACCGCGAAAATCATCGTACCACACATCTATATAGATGTATGCAGACGTGTCAGTGACCGACAATAAAAGGCAGGGCATGTCGACGAAAAATCTTTCGAAACGGTGCATAAATTTTGTTTGTTATGATGTAAGAGGCTATGTTGTTTTCCAAAGCAATTTCTGAGGTGTCAAGGAACTGTTGTCTTAATAAAGGTTATCGCAGTGAATATATCTTTAAGGGAAAGAGCATTTTTATTCTGGTCATTGTTATATWCAATCATAGATGTCTAGATGTAAAAAAAAAAACTATCCAGCCGCGAAACTCTTTTCATATGCAACGTGGTCCAAATCATAATTTTCCTCATTTATCTTCGCTAATTATTTGTACAAATTCATAAAAACATACTAGTTTGTTTTGGTTGCTAGTGCATTATATTCAATGATCGCTGCTTTTGTCACTTTTCCTCAAAGACAAAGTATACAAATGTCGCATCTATTTTACTACATACGTGCAATTTTTCTCATRAGGTTCTAAATAGTGTACATTAAACGTTTTTTTTTTCTGGAAAATACCTATTTGTCCTTTTGCGCTGTCGTATTCAGATGATTTATTAATGTTAGCTCTTCTTGTGAAGTTAAGGTGAAAATTACACCCCAAATAATCTCATTACGAAGATTTTTAGTGCTCAAAAAGACTCTAAGTGCTTGCATAATCAAGTTGTTCGTGTCGCTAGCGTCTTTAAACAAATTAAAAACGTGCATTTTATTTTGATGCCGAAAAAAATGTTTTTTCTAATGACGTTACTCAAATAATACGTAATCTTTTCATATCGCAAATATCCTACTATTTTATCATCTTCTACTGGTCTGTTCTAGATTGATATATATAGATTTTTAAGAATGTTTTGTACTAGAAAAGTAAACCTGTCTCCCGCAATGAATTCAGTATGTCCTGATGTCGAGAACGCCGTTGTCAAACCAAATTCATAGAATACTAGCACCGTTGGGGATTTATTTCAATAGGTTTGCAAGTCAAAACAATGTTTTTGCATTGATTATAAGACGTCGTTATTTATAATTTTTTGTTTTCAATCAATTTTCGGTTTGTTTCAATGACTAGAGCATAACAAACGAGGTTTGGTTAGCGAAAATAGCAGATTACGTCACATCTATGGACGAGTTCTTACTTGACGATATATTGAACAGAAGCTCAGTTAAAGTTTTTAGGGTATTACATGATTTGAAATATTCAAAAGATTTTTTTTTCCGCTTTTTGGCAAGCAAATGTTAGAACACCCGCTGATTTATTAATAAACATGGTTTTCTTTGGTTGCAATTTCTAGTCGAGATTGTGGTWAAAGAAAATCCACTGACGTAGCATTTAGTGAAGCGCATAGATATCGACTTCTGTATAATGCAGTTACAATGAATCCGTCCGTACTCTTCATATTAAGATTGTTCCTTTTGTGGTCAACATACAATTRTTATCTGCTCGTTTTAATCCCATTTTGTTTGCTTTCTTTCGTTTTATTCATTTTTTCCTGTTTCTAGCTTTCTTCTCGTTGATTTTTATTCTTTTCTTATTCTTTCATCCCATTCGTCGTTATTTCATTCATTTCATTCTTTCGAGTTCGAATTCATTTCTAATTGTGATATGTCAGTGCGTGTTGCTAAGGTAAATTCTGATCRAAGAATCTTTTCTTTACGTCTTTCTTTAATCCAAAAAGAAAARCAAGGATCCAAATGGCAATGGATGACAACTAGGATGTTTTGTTTTCAAATCTTTGCAAGAATCACATCAAGCTTTGTCATTGTAATTTGGAAAATTTAAAGCAGTTCAGCCATCAACAAGAGTTCAAAACTATGAAGGTCAACAAGATCATCTCGTAATTCTATCAATGTGTTGAAAAAATTGAGAAGTCAAGAAGTTTGCCACGTTCTATTAAAGCGAGTTCGTCAAATAGACATTTTAACGACTTGTAACTATTTAGAGGTCATTCGATGACCAGTCTGTCTCGGTCCTTGCACGTATTAACAGAACCTTTTTTTTCGTATTCATGTATTTTTTTTTCTTATTTCCATAATCTATATGTCCATATATTTCTATATGTAACACTGTCTGTTCGTTCTGAACGTCTATCCATTCATTCAGTATCTAAGGAATAGAGTTATTTCTGTAAACCCGTGAAACAGATAGTCGACTATAAACAAATCATCATTGTCATTAATCGCATTTTTCTGTTCCCACTAGACTAAATTGACTTTAACTATTCTATTTTGTTTCATGGATTTAATGCCTTTCCTTTAAAACCCCTGAAATACATATGAGACTAGAGTACTTGGTTCGTCGTGGAGGATAAACATAAATGAGAACACTGAAATCAGTTTGAAGTCTACTAATAATTTATGGCCAACAGTACTATAGTGATCATGTTTTAGTGATAATATTTTACGAGGGCGTGCGTGAAACCAAAGTAAGCTTTTCACTTAAAACACTACCAGATTTATTACTCCAATTATTTTTAGCAAAAAAATTGCGCTCAAAGCTAAAAAAAAATCTTTTCAGTGAATTTCAAATCAGCACTCGAGGCGCAGGAAACAATGTAAAAAGTGTTGTTCCTAGAATACCATAAATTACATTTACAAAAGGCTTGGGGTTGAGAAATGTTTCTTTTTAGTGCATTTTTCCCATACAACTTTAGTTCTGTTTTTTTAAGAGGATGTTTTTGTTTCACAAGGAAGTGTACGTGCACCCTTTGCCCAACCAATTGGAACGGTTCTGGCACTGTTGTACCTTATGTTGACTGTTAGATTTTGTTCCAAGGGGATAATAGCCTCACTAGTTCATAAACTGTTCGATCTAAATAAGCCAATCTATTCAAAAAGATCTATCAAGCAATCATCCATCCTATTAAACCAACCAATCGAAAGAATTGAGGACTACGTAGTACTTATAACCGCAGTTCTCTTGCTTGTTAAACACACGAATGAATAATAAAGCAATGCGGTCACTTGTTTTGATGTATGCGGTTAAAATAACGTATTTTGATATCGTATTTTAGATGCTGTTTATTCATTTTCACGTGGGAGATTATCGTCATAATCCAATTTCGTTACACTTTGCGATAAATCACGTCCTTAGGGACGGACCATTAATCTTTTGAGAGGGGGAGATTGGTGGTAATAGAGTGAAGGCCTTAAAACCCGGGAAACCAAATTTGACAATTAAATTGTTATTGTCAAATAGGCACGAAAAGAAAGCCATACAATTAGAGCACACTAAGTTGTATTAGYGTAATATCTGTTTCACGGATTTTTTGACTTCACTCTAGTTTTCTAGCACACTTTGTAGTGAGTTTATCGATAATTGCATTTATTTCCGTTTGTGTTTATTGGTCCATCAGGTTTTTAGATTTTATTTAAGGATATATGTCGTACCTTGCTTACCTAACGCGGTCTTATTTTGTTCCAGGCGTAGGGATGGGTCTTCCACCTTACTTATCTTCACAAGCCATGGATCATCGCGGTCTTGGCAGCCTGTTCTACCGTCATCACCCTATGCCTATGTTTCCGTCTGGTTATACTGGCGCTTATCCACAACGACTTCCTACCAACGAAGACGCTCGRGAGACAGTAGCCAGCGCTAAGTCATCAGAGAGGTAAACATTAAAACTAATCATCTAATTAGATCTAAGTTAAGTATTGTTTTTTTAACGTGTTAATATGTTTGCTCTTTATTTCACATTGTCCATTCATGCGTTCGATGCGCTTATTCAGTCGTTTTCCATTCAATTGATTATTTGATTTYGTATGGTGTAAAAAACAGCATTCAGAGCGTTTTTTGGATTTTTTCATATATGGAAAACGAGGGTGACTACCAATTCGTTTCCATCCATCGGTTTAATGTCGGATCGAAGGTCTTATATAGCATAAAAGTATAATAAAGAGCAACCTTTTGCTTATAAAACGATGTATTTATATTTTCAAACGTAAACAAAAGCTCGCAAGGGATGCCGGTTGACCATTGTCCTTAATACAGTATATAATGATGGAAAATTAGTGCCTTCTTCTTACTTCCCACTGTAGATATTTCGTTATTTGCTAATTGATGTGGTTTAGTATAATAAGTTCTCATTGCCTCTTCCTCGTTTTGATAAACAACTGATTTACCTTAATTGTTTCAGATAAGGTTTCCGATTTCCAGCCATTTTTCCTCTGTATCCCACGCATTGACATCCTGTACACGCATTCGTTAAACGCCAAGCAGGAATACTTGAATGACAAAACTGAAGGGATAGAACACGCACGACTGCTATATCTGAAATAAAACCTGTGGACTCAGTATAAATATAATTCAGTTATATATCCCAGAAATAGAAATAAACTAGTTTTTGCTACTTAATAAAGGACAAGAGAAAAGAATAAGGCTAAGTTCATTTTTAACTAGAAGGCTTGTCGTTTGGTTATTTGTATTATTTGTTCATTCTTTTACAGACGAAATAACACCATTTATTTGACTTTTGGCACTTAACCTGTGAAATAGTTAGTAGTCTTCTAGTTATAGCAGTACACCTTTCTTCGTTTTCTTAAGTTTCAACTGCAGTGTTACCAATTAGTTTTATYTTAAATGTAATCGAGCTTTACGAACAAGTGTGGCTCTATATAACGGATTAAGTGTTCAGTGCGCTTGGTTTAGTGGTCGCGGTCTTGCAACGTTTTATTCTCAGTAAAATAGCTTTTCTTTRAGTAGAATGGATTTACTATCAAAGTCGTAACAATTTATAACTCGAGATTTGAAAACTAGAAAAATATTACGAATAGTCACTGGTTAAGTTTCTTGTTTGATCAGTCCAATTTCTTACAAAGTACATGTACAGGAAGAACATATTCCTACGATTCTAACAAATAGTTTTTGACGGAGTTAATGAATGAACTCTAAACCACCGTTTATTAACATGTTTTGTCCATTTTTTTTCAGGTCAGACACTGGAATCGAGCCAAAAGAGCCAGTGCGCACTGAAAGTGTTATTAAAATCGCCACCGAAAGATCAGACTTACGAAAACCAGACTCCGTCGATAAACGACACTCACGACCTGCWAATGATGATTATACTAGGACTTACCAGGAACGAAACGGTGATCACGTGCCCTATCGAGGATCACGTGACAAATCAGACGTGACGTCAAACGGCGATGTACGTCATTCAGCAAGTATGGAACGAACGCTTAACGATTTGAGATCGTATCACACTTCGGTAAATAATAAAAGCTTGTTGCCTGGAGCGTATGTTAAAGATTTTCCAAATCAAAAGACTGAGTACCAAAGAATTTCTTCTTCACAATCGGGTATGTTTTCATCGATGCCCAAGCTGACGCCAATCGCCCCAAGAGGGCATCCTTCGTCGCCTTTTTCATCGGCGCCCTCCATAACSGAGGGTCTTAGTAGGTCGTCTACTAATGGAACGTCCGTCAGACCAACCTCGACCGTCTACCATCCRTCACGTGACTSTATGACGAGTGAAAGTATGATATCACAACGTGGCGATAGCCGACACGAAGACGACGCACATAGAGCTAGTTACTTGGCGCGGTCAGTTTACGAGACATTTCCAGGGCACTGGGAGCGCGGTGATGTTTCGTCGCTTTACCCTGGACACTCGGCATACCAGGCCTACGGATACGGRAGAACAATGCACWCTAAACGACCTGACGATAAAGAAATTCCCAARGAACTTGAAAATGTTCGTARCAACCCGCGACAAGTTGATACGGTTAAGGAGTCTTCGATATCTCCCGATCGGACAACGCATTATTTGAAAGATGTTTCTAAACCTCTACAGGAGAGTGCAGTACACAACAGAGATTATGTGAATAGTCAACCCAWTGYGGTATCTTCGCAAAATGACCAGTCATCGAAAAAYCAGGTCACTTTCAGTAAAAGTGAAAAACCGGTCTTGCCGGATAATGCGCGATATAAAGTTAGCGAGGAAAAGAAGAACGCTTCAAAATCAGATACTGCGAAAGTCATTACCAAACAAGGTGATGCATACGTTGTCTCCGTGCGTGAAACRCCTCATACCTACTACGCTAATGGTGGAAGGGGTGGAGAAAAGGTTGAATCTATTGAGCGGTCGCGACCCCAAATAGGGTATGAGCCSGYAGTTAGCAAAAAGGACGATAACCAGCGGTCGACTGCTAAAGACAAGCAGGGTGATCGTGGTGATAATCCTGTGAGTAGTGATTACTCTCGACGAAGATTTGACTCGAACACCAACGAAAGAAATGATCACTCCACTTATGAAGACTCGAAGAAGACAAACGATCGGAACAACAACTCGTCGTTTAGTTCCTACTCGCGCTATCAAAACCACACGGATCGGGCGCGTCCTTTGAATAAGATCTCTCTCGGTCAAGATAAAGTGTTCGTTCCTCCTAATGTCACTCTTGAAATGTACCACAAAAGAGAACAAGAAATGGAAAGAGCTGCAGCCTCGTGTCGCTCTTCAGATGCCATTCGGTCGTCCGAGTTGGCTGCCATSAATAGAACTAAACTMCCTGGAAAAAAGGACAATGACGTAGAAAGTCGGTACCAACCTCCCGACCAAAACAAYGGCCGGCAATCGTCTAGTAAGCAAGAAGTGACTTCAAATAGAGGTGATTCTAAAAGCTCTGATGATGAAGAACTGAAAATCATCGACGRACGTGTGCCTTCGCAACCTCGTCCCACACGTCAGGACGAACCTAAACGAACGTTATCTCCYTCACGAGTATCYCGAATAACTTCTCCCAATGGCGCTAATGCGGTCAATAGTCAYCCTTACTTAACGCCATTTGGGGTAAATYTCTCCGCGCGAAGAACTCCTAGCGAGAGCGAAATGGTAGCGCGRGAAAATGCGGAAAGAAGTCTGCAAACCGCTCAGTATCTTTAYGGCGGTGGACTGGCGTCGTTYTCGGCTAACGCTACACAGTTTATGGCGTCGGGAGGACGAGGTGAAATGCCTGTTATGTTACCAATGGAGATGCTGTATGGCGGAATKTACAAACCTCATGTAATGGACCCTGCTGCACAAGGTGGGGCTGTTATGCAGGACCCTCTGACTGGTTCGTTGGTTGTTGTCCCTGAAGCACTTCTGAATCAAAGCATGTTCAACCCTYTAGGTATGGTGTTTAGTTTTTGTTAGAAGAATTGTATACCGARAAGYTAGATTTTCCTTKTAATTGTCTTGTATTTCTCAAATCWTCAGCTGCCGAGTCTCAGCTCATGCTRGATCCACGATTTTGGGGGATGCAGGCATCGATGGAAGATCCACGATGGCAACAGTTTTATCAACAGCAGACGAAACACATGTACGATCAGATGGAGAAATATAAACATGAGGTGTTGTTAGCTCAGCAGCAGGGAAGACTGCCTGGATACCCCTTTTATCCTTTCTATCAGAAGCAATTCGAAGCGCAAAAGAAGGTGATCATGAAAACGCATTTTATTCATAAATAAATAAATGAAAGATAAATTAATGAAAAAGAGGAAGAATAGATAACTGGGAAGTGCCTTTGCCGAGAATCTTTATGTTTAATGAATCTTATCCTCTTTTGTAGGAAGAAGAACTTGCTGCAAGGTTGGACCAGCGGCCTAAATCACGCGAAGAACCAACAGCGAAGCAACGTCCAGAAAGACCTGACGAGCCCTCCCAGAAGGACAAACCTACAACATCGATAACTGAACGAAGGTCGTCATACCCTCATGAAACAAGACGTGAAGATGCAGAAAKCAAAGGCGATCCTTCAAATCAACGGTCCACTGCAAAACCTGAGAAACTGGAACCACACAGTATTCCAAATCCTGAGAAAGACGACCCTGTTGTTCCAAGGGATACAGTCAAGTCAGCTAAAGTAATTGAGAAGCGTCGAGAATCAGAAGAACGATCACAACAGGTAATTTAGTTTGCTACAAAGCAAAGCCTTTTTTGGCGAGCATTAATGTAAGGGCCGATTGTTACTTGGGGCTCCACAAGGGTGATGACGCGAAAGAAAGGAGTTACACGGTAACAAATGCAAATATTCAAGAATTTAAGAATAGATATAAGTGGACGTGGTTTTTTAGAGGGGAAGGAGAGTGGGGGTAAAACAAATAGATAATTAATKGTCGACTTTAGCTGTTTAGGGGAACTATTATGGTTACCGTTAGTAACATTACCTGCGGCTTTCATTATTTTATCTTCACCTACATTCATCCATTAATTCATGAAAAATCTGATTAATTTGATTAAYTTTAGTMTGTAAAGTCACTGTAAATTATTMAATTTACAGACAAAATGTCTATTTTACAAACTTTGTCAATTGTTTTTAAAGATATTGATAATGTTTGATCGAGCAAAATTTACAATATATTTACAGAATGTATATTAAAATTTATAAACTTTGTGAAAGAACATTTTGTCAGTAAATTGAATTGATTGTATATTTACAGTATATYTRCATATTATTTACAGACTCTATAAACTAGTGAACTTTTCCATTTATTTAATTTAAACAGGAGGAACAGAATCGCCAGTTTCAACAGTATTTGCTCCGTGAACCAGTCTTCGATCCAACCACCAAGTTTCCCTTCTCCAGAATACAATCTTCTCATCCAAAACCTTTGTACTCGCCTACCGAGGTTTCGCCTAGAGATACGCGAAACATTCCGCCTAAATCCTCGCACTATGGTGACGTCAATCGCCCTGAAGTATCGCCACAGATCGTATCGGCTGCTGCCACGCTGGCTAATATGGACATTGGGACCCGATTTCCTTTTAATCAACAGGGCTTCAAACAGTCGGACGAACGGTTTTTACGTGGGGTCGAACAAGCGGACAATCCTGCTAGAAAAGCTGGGCGAAATGAYCATATTGTTAAAAGYGAAAATAGTACGTTCTATTTATGTTTATAAAAATGCATTCAATATTTAATTCACAATGGAAACCTTCCTGTCGTCGGCAGGAAATATTTTTAATCTTTCATTCATTTGATATATCCATTCATTGACTCTGTGTACCTTCTTCTCATCCATCCACTATTTCTCATTTAACCATCCATCTATCCATTCATTTATTCATAGAGTGATGTTCTTTATAATTTTCACATTCAATAGTGCCAATTTCCCACTCGTCTTCGACTGATCAACCCGTCATCACAAGCAATAAGGTAGAAATGCACAAGATTCCCAGGCGAACATCYAGCGACCAGCCACCAACAAATCCAATCAGCAAATCAACACCAGTCAACAGGCATGCTAGAGATGGATTCGATGTGCTAAGCTTAATSCGAGATTCATCAAGACAGCCTATTAATTCWATGACCAACTTTACCGGGAGAAGACCTTCCGAAGATCCCAACCGTCATCCCATTCCAGYAGAAACGTCACGTCTTCTAGTAGCGAAAGCAGAGAAACTGTCACAAGACGAAGAGCTGGAAGTCATTCGGATTGACACTCCTTATGCTGTGCCTGAGCAACGCAAGGAAGAGAAAGATATTTCGGAGCAAAAAGTTCAAGAGATGGATCTTCTTCTGTCGATGTCCAAAGAAAGCAATGTCATTGTTGAAAGTCCGTCATCAAAGTCGGAGATATTTTGGATTGAATGCTCTGACGCTGAAGAGGATTATGAAGTGCAAGCAATAAATGACTCCGTTCGGCCGCTAAAAAGAGAAATAAATGGGCATGATAAAGAGAACTCGATTATGTTATCCCTTCAAAGCTCGAAGTCCGAAGAAGAGAAGAAAATCATTCATGAAAAGATCGAAAAGTTACGGGAAATCGCCAAAGGAAGGACAAGGGAAGAACGATTCACGGCATTGACTCGACAAAAAGAACTGAGAAGGTACTTTTTTGCAATTGGCATGGYGAACACACAAAAGGATTCAAAATKTTATCACTCACGCTTTCCCTACATATTTTGTGAACTAAATATTTTCTTTCAGCAGAAAAGGATTWTTTTATTGCGTTTTTATCATTTTCTATGCAGTTTATGACAGTTGCATAGTCTCACACAAATTTCTTCTGCGTTTTCAGCCCTTCATCAATTGTCAACAGCGTGACAGCGTCACTAAACGAAGTGTTAGATACCAAYGTTATGGAAAAGGACATACGAATGCGGTTAGCTGAGCTTCAGAAGAAATATCGAGAAAAACACCGTGAACTTGCAAGACTTCAGCCAAGAAGTAAACATGGGTAAGTACATAGGTCTTATATCACAACCAATTCTAAATTCAGATTGATTAACTACATACATTATGTTTGTGGCGATTACGTTACAGCATATTATTACGCTTTATTAAATTTCACTGCGTTATCTGCTATATGTTAGTATATTCCCCTCTTACCATTCAAATAAAGTTTGCTTTGATACACTACGTTATACTTACGTTATTGCGCAGGACTTCAACATATACGTTTATCTCCTCCTTCTTCAACTATTTATCTTCTACCTGACTCCATGTATGTTCTTCTACGCGCAGAGCGTGTACCGCGAAGTTATTGCTTTACGTTAAGATCACGTTGTTTATCCCCAGAAGTGATGAGCATTCAGGAGGCAAGAACACACCAGTCAAACGAGGACCAGGGAGACCAAGAAAAAGGAAGTACTTCGGAGCCAGCTCAAAGAGCGAAAAAACAACCCCAACCCAATCGATCAGTAACGACTCATTAGACACGATAGTAAAAAGTGGCACGAGCTCTCCGTCATGCCCTCGATCCCCTGTCTTGAAAGCCCCTGTACCAAGTGAAGATATTCCGGTGTTTAAGGARTGTGTGGAGCAACCACTGAAAAAGAAAAAGAAGAAAACCAGTGCCAGTAAAAAAGACGATGTGCAACCGTCGTTGCCTTCGCCAGTTACCGTTAGCCCAACATTAGTAGAGGTGAGACAACTTTTTTTATATCAATATCATGCAGCTCCAGAAACCAATGCTAAGATAAAATAGCACCTTATTGACTCCTKAGGGAAATTTTAAAAAATATTTAAAATTTTAAAATATTTTCACTCCCAGACAAAACCTCGTGCGAAGCCATCGAGAAGACCTTCTTCTAGCTCGTCCAAGACCAAAACGACAAGTGCAATTCCTATAGTTCCCAGCACTGAGACTTCGAACATGGATAAGCTAATAAGCGCCATTTCTCCGAGTAAGTTCAACACTTATATCATGAAGTACAGTAAGATTTCTCCAAGATGGTCACCTTCTCCCCCCCCCCCCAACTTTGCACTCGCTTACTCTTCCTTCTTAGTACCTTAATCCTTTTAACCTGCTTGCGGTGGCATCACTTACGAAGTACCATCTATATAGTTCATGAAGCTCTAATTACTGAAAAGTAAATATTTCTGTCTTTGTTTTAGTGTTCGATGATAACTCCAATCAGGAGCCGATCTATGCTCAGCCAAATTCCTTAACAACTATTGACCCTCCCAGTAAGCCCAAAGCAGCAAAAAAGTCCAAGAAGAAGAAAGAGAAACGTTCGAGTAATGACGAAAGTACTGATCCCAAAGGAMGYCTGTCATCTGATTTGGCAAGTCCCGACAGCGTGAGCCCTAATTCTAGTAAAAACAACAAGGTCAAGTGCGCAAAGAAATCCAAAAAGAAAGCCAAAGCTCCATCCACACCAAAAGTTAAGACAGAGTTCGTTTTTCCAGAAAATGGTAACAGCAATGAACAGAATGTTACAGTCAAAAAGAAAGAATTTGAAAAACCAGCCGAGAAAGAGCAGAAGAAAGAAAGAGAGGATGACATAAGTGAAAATGACGATGTCTTCACGAGTGGTAGTGATGCTCTYGACTTGTTGGCAAATTTCGCAAGCTCTGCAAGTTTTGAAAAAGAAAARCCTCCAGTTAAACARCCATTTGAAGATGGAACTTCATTGAAAGGAATTAAACGTGGAAGACCGAAAAAGCCATATTCGCCAACACCCGACTCAGGTTCGTGTTATAATGACTTKAACCGATTATTTTTGSGCCTTTTTTTTCAATATGGCCTAATACCGTGGTAGCGCATCWTACTAATKTTGTTCCGTGATTSYTCAGATGCCAYGACTRCYCCCAAAAAGAAAAGAAAAAAGAAAAAACTACCAGTATCGGTAAGTATTCAATCCATGTGAAATCCACTTTCTTGTGCGTTTTAAGTGCAAATTCKTAKATATGTKTTATTGCATGCAGGCCCCTAAGTCTCCCAAAAAGGTCACTCCAACTCYAGATGAAACAGAGAGCATCCAGAAACCACTAGAACCACTYCCCAAACAAATTGAGCAACATCCATCACTGCCTCCTTCACCACCGGTAGAACCCACTGAAGTCAAAGAGGAACCAAAACACGAGCTTCTAGAGGAACAGATTGTTAAAGTGTTAAAGGAAGASATGGCTGATCCTCCGATGGAGGAAGAAGTTACGCACGTCGAGGAACCCGACCGAGAAGTCACTCCACCACCYGAGCCAATCAAGGAAAAGCGAAGGAAGTCSCGAACGAGTATAGCTAAAGAACTTGACGAGACGAGACAGGCTTTTGCACTTTATGGAGATTGGCAACCGCGTAGAAGCGAAAGGATCTTCATCAATAGTAGTGTTCCACCCCAGAGCAGCGCTGACCTGAGTCCTTTGTCAAGTCCAACATCAAAGACAAATGATTTTGGATGGCCRAARAAGGCCAAGAAAGTCAGCAAGGGAAAAAAGGTATGGATTAAGTTGTTACAATCGTTGATAACAATGTTTTCCTCAAACATTATATTCAGTGGTGAATTTACTTGAATATAGACCAAAGATCTCGAACTTATATGAACTGATTTGTTTATGTCTTGTTGAATAGCCTTCTAAGTCAGAGGAAGCCAGTGATGCCGAACCAACTGAAGAGGAGTCGCCTGTGAATGTGAACAAACCTATTATAAAATCAAAAAAGAAGAAAAGCCCAGGAAAAGGCAAAAAGAGACGTTCATCATCGACAACTGATCCAGATTTCGTTGTGAGAACACCGAAACGAAAGGCTGCGAAAAGAGACGTAAGGAAATGCATTAGTATTTTACAAATTCAAATTCAAATGTGGCTGCATTAAGGTTACCCCGGACACTATTTTCGTCAAATCTTTGAAAATTTTTAAATTAGTCTGAGCGAATTAAAAGAAGTATATCTACAACTTTGACTAAAGTTTATGCCGATGTATTTTTTTCTAAACTAGTTATAAACAAAAAACGTTTTGAGGTTCTCTGAAACGTGTTTTACTGCTGACTGCGGCTGTCATCGTAAGTCTTGTCGAATTAATAGTCACGTTATCAAAGCACGACGGGGTCACATAACATCACAAACTTCACATCAAGCGATATAAAGACCAAAGCGATACTTATTCCACTGTATACTTGAAAATATCCTTTGCCAAGGCCTTTGAGATTCACCATTTTGAGAAAACTTACTGAAAATTATTACTATTCGCTGCACAGTCCGCGAAGAAGGTCAAACAACAAGGTCACGTTCGCTKAATATGCTCTCCCACCGTTCTTGTATCGTATTTCTTCCTTTATGCTTTGGCTACCGAACGAGTACGCTTGTCAACACTTGATCCATAATCCTTTAATCCCATTAAAGTTCAACTTCATGTTTCGTAAAAGTAGATTTCGATAAAATACTAAAATTCAAACGGTTYGTTTGCAGAACTTATCAGACGAATTTCCTCTAAATTTTGCATGTYGATTCGGACATTACTGAATTTTCAAAGTGTGTCTGCGTTTTTCTTTTKAAGTTTTCTTTGTCGAGAAATAAACAGTTTTGTGAGGGATGAGGTAAAATAGGGCCTAGTCTAACTTTAAAATCGAATAAAAAAATAACGAAGCGTTGAAAAGCCAAACGCAGACACACTTTTGCAGAACAATGCCTTGGTAACAGGATTATTAAAAAAGTTTATCTTTCTACGTAAAACTTTCTGCAAACGAATCTCTCGCGCGGAGACACTGTGTTATCGTCAAGTCCTTGATGTCTTTTAAAATAATCAATTTTATCAARAAATACGTCCAGATATGGATTCTTTGTCATTTTGTTTCTCAGAAAATGTATAATTTTTGCGGGTTTCCTATTAAATCGCGCGAGATATGATTTTTTTTTAAACACCTCCCGGTAGTGTCCGGGGTAACCTTAATGTATGCCGAATATATATCTATAATACTCAACATCATATAAGAGCTTTATAATTGGGATGAAGGAAAAATGCTTCTAAACATATTCCTCTTGCCAGATGAATTGTCTCTCCCTTTCCGATCTAAACGGAATATTAATAACATCGTTTTGTTTTATTCTTGTAAACAGCGAAACTACGAAGAATTGGACGACGACGACGATGAAGATCTGGTCGAAGAAGGAGACGAGAATCAAGATGACGATGTGGAAGAGAAAGATGCTGAAAGTCAAGATGACGCCGAGGTAGAAAACATTGAACCAACCACTGCAGSAAATCAAGAGACMGATGAAAAAACTGAAAAGAAGTTCGATAAGCCAGTWGAGATCCATAGTGTCCAGGTCACKGCTGATGAGCAAGATCAAGAAATGAAGAACACTGGTAACGAGTCTTCATCAGATACAGAGGAGGAATCGAAAAAGGAAGATTTTCCATCACTAAAAGAGGAAATAACGGAAAATAAATTCGTGGAATTTTGTGCCGATGAGAAAGAAGGGAGTAGTGCCACTGCGAAACCTAATGCCACTGCGAAACCTAAAGATGGACAAACAGCTGACGTGAAAAAGGAACCAGCTCCAGTGGTAAGTGAAACAACAGAAACAACATTCAAATGATATTATTATGTTAAATAGTAAATAAACAGCAGTAATCCTTATTTCAATAGGCGACTTCAGCTGAAAGTACATCTGATGAGGCGACTGTAGCTGAGCGAAACCATCTTCCACCAGGTGAGGACATTATCTGGGCATTATGTTTAAAATCACCGTGTAGACTAATTATGATGACCAATATTGTCATCAATAACGACGTTTATGAAAAAATATAATGATAATAATGAATTCTTTGTCTATTTTAAGAACCCGTAATCTCGTTCACTAAAGAGGAACTGAAATACAACACCAAGATGCTGCTACCTGTTGACAGAGTCTTCTTCCGCGGTMGAATCACATTCTTTCAGGAACCCGATCTGTAAGCTCATTTAGATCAATTGCACATTTTAAAATTCTTGTACAGTACTTAAATTTATGCTTTGTAACCCAATTATTTTAGGTATGGCATAGTTTTACCTGGGGAAAGGGGACGTAGACCACACTTGAGGTCGACAGAACAGCTTCTTTCTCAGGCAGTAAGTGTTTTTTTTTTATTGTCGTTAATCCTCCCAACTGTTCCTTCCTAAAGTTCCTAGGTCTCTATAGTAATTAAGTGTATCGCTTATCTTCTTTAAGGTCAAAGATATTGTCCCTCCTGCTGTTGAATATCTWCCAGTTGGTACACGAGTATGTGCTCACTGGAGTCCGCAGTATCGATGTTTTTACCCAGGCAATGTAATTGAAAGTAAGTACAACTCCTTTGTTTATACTGAGATACTTATGTATCTACCTATGAATACTAAAAGTTTTATAATGAGATAAACGGGAAGTAGAAAGGAATATGTTCGATTGTATGTTGTAGCACCCCCAGATGAGAAGTCAGAAGTGGGCAARTTGTGGGTGGAATTCGATGATGGTGACAGTGGCATATTTCCTTTGTCTGACTTACGAAAGATAATCACAGAATGTCCTGTTCAAGTTGATGGTAAGGACGTATATTATTACCTATAATATGTGCGCTTTTATTGGTTGAATATGATCTGCTGTATTTCATTAAGACGTTTTAAATTTTTTAAATTCAATGCATGTCTAATAATGCTGAATTGGATTTTAGATGTTGAATCAGATGTTGTCCTACCAGAGCGTCGGGCACATTTCTTGTCGTCAAGAGGAAGCTCTCCCTCCAGCAGACGACYAAAGGATCCAGAAACGGCACAAAAGAACAAAGAGGATGATACGTCGGGATGGGACAGTACCGAAGACGCRCCAATACGGAGAACGAGAGGTCGAGGGAAACGACGCGCTAAGATGAAAGATCGCAGATTCAGCGAAGATGCGACAGACTCGGACGCGCCGCGTGGAAGTCAGGACACCGATGATGAAGATACCGCTGACCAGGTTGATCAATGCAAAAAGAATAAAAACGAAGAGAAGGAGGATGACTCAAAGCTTAAATCATCGCATACAAAGAGAACCAAAAGGCAAACTAGGATGAGTAGAGAGGATTCAAAAGACTCTGACGACAATACTGCTGAAGATGATAATAAAAAAGTCATTAAGAATGAAAAGAGTAAAGAGGTATCYAAGCATCTTGATGACGACACAGATGACGAAGAAACCATCCAGGAGCCTGGYACTGTACGACCTAGAGCCAGGTCCTCGCGTTTGTCTGATCTGGATCTCAGGAAGAAGTCGTTGACGTTAAATTTGAACAGTTCACCGCGCTCGAAAATGGCTGGTAGTGAAAGCCCTGCACAAGAATCCACTTCTCAAGAGGAAGATAGTGGTTCATGTAGTGAAGTTTTCGATGACAGTCCACAAACAGAAAACAAAACATTCCAGGTAAAATCCAACGAAGATCACGGAAGGTACGAAGAATATATCGTAATTTTTGTATTATTCTGCTTTGCAGCCGCGATTGGGTAAGAGAAGACGTTCTGCACTGGACAGAAGCAAGCATGATAAGACGCCTGGTAAGGGAATTGAACACAGACAGACAAACCCAATAATAGAAAAAACAAAATCCTTACTGTCTGTTAAGTGAGAGTTTGTATTGGCTCGTAAAATCCTTTATATCAAGGCAATTGGCCTTTTGTTTATCTCCTAAAAGGAAACAACATTTTCTAGAATATTGACTACACAAATTACTCATGTATAAAGAAGTTTATCATTGTCTTCTTCATTTCATTCAAGGAGAGCGTTGGTCCTGGTCCGGGAAGAACCATCAAAATAAACGAAAAGGCAAAGGTCGTAAAGTGTTCTACAAGACAATAGTTCGTGGAGACGAAGCAATTTCTGTAAGTAGCCTCTCAGTGGTATATAACACCAAGAAACAAGACAAGACAACAGAAACATTTATCTTATTTAGAGATTTAGGAACTGGTTGTCCGACGATTGTTAATTTTTTTTAAATGATGTACGTTTTATCAATGAAAAGTGATTCTTACAACGCAAAGCCCGTATCCCCATTAGCATGCATGTAATAAACTTGTATGGCGTGAACAGGTATAATGCCAGTTAAACCCTTATGCTTGCATTAATCGCCATTAATGTTACTGTTGCATATAATTCCGGGTGTTATTAGAAAATGCACAAGAGGTTTCTTTGCAGCATGTTTTGTCACTCACTGTGACGGCAGAGMTTATTTTTTTCCAGCATGATCGCATTCTGACGTGACATGGGACGTAACAGTGTGAATAACGCAACTCACCCGATTAATTAATTCTCTTGTCACGCTTCTCATATCTGTATGCACTACGCTCTAACAAAGAGAAAACTCGTATTAATATCTTGTATTAATCATTTTCATGCTATRTTAGAGTGATGTCACACTAGAAACCCTCCAATTTACAGTTCGCCATCTTGAAAGGTAGCCGAGCCTTTGCTTCAAATCGAGACAGTGTTTGAGCTTGCAATGATAGACACCTGCGAATAATTGTCTCAGTTGTGAACAAAACGTATCTATCACTGCAGGCTCAACTCCTTTCTCGCTTTAATGCAAAGGCTTGGCTACCTTTCAAGATGGCGCTGGGAACTGTAAAATTGGGCACTCGTCTCGAGGCCACTCTCCGCAGCTCGTCCGCACGTTACTTACGTGACATCACTCTAATAATCGACCTGTTACAGGTTGGCGATTGTGCCGTTTTCACTTCTAACCCTTCCAAGTCCAATAATCTACCGTACGTGGGCAAGATAGAGAGCATGTGGGAGGGATGCAGTGCTAACATGGTAGTTAGGGTCAAGTGGTTTTACCACCCTGAGGAAACCAAGGCAGGACGAAAGGCATCTGACGCCAAGGTAGTCTTATTGTCCGTTGGCGTATCCGTGTTTGTGTTACCAATCTCGCACGTTAGATTAGACTGTTTTACGAAATATGGATATGTTTTACCAAATATGAAAATTTCCTTCTGAACGGATTATGGATCCATCTTCAAAAGTCTTCTTTTACTCAAAAATGTAATGGAATTTTACTAAATGCAAAATATTTAAATGACTTTTAACTATGAATTTTGTGGAAAAGGTTTTTCTACAAGCTATTGTTAAATATTTTTTGTGGCGTGGTTTTTTGTGTCTAGTCGGTGTTAACACACGACGGTTCCAAGTTGCATGGCAATTGTTCGGAACAATTAGCCTCAATCTCATAGTTGGCATGTTAGCAAAACTGCATGTGTAAAGAACACTGTCTGTCTGTCATCTGTTTTGTTGTTTGTCTCTTTATATGTCTGTCTACTGGTTTATGTGTGATTGTTTGCTTACATGTCTGTCCGTCTGTCAAGCGCTATCAATCTGCTTTCAATTCTTGTCGATCGCAGCATCCTTTTTAATCGTTAACATCGTTCAAGACACCTTATAAAGTCGTAGCCATACGAGAAATGCTGGATCATCGGGCGCCCCAATGTTTTGCCACATTGTTTGAAGATTCTCGTGGAAACATTTCTTTTTGTTCTCTAGTTTGATAATATGGTTTTATGTACGATATTTTTAGCTGCTTAGCTATTTACAAATGGGTTGTTTGGTGCTCCAGCAATGTTGAATGATCGAACATTTCTCGGTTTAGCGCGAGGCTAACATAATACGCTTGCCCTTCGTACCACTAATCCGTTACCAAATCAATTCTAATATGAAACTCTATATGACACGGCGTTTAACTTCTTGCTAATCAGTAATAATGTTTTATTTCAGCATTCATTATACCGATCGACTCATATCGACGAAAACGACATCCAAACCATATCCCACAAATGTGAAGTCGTATCCCCTGAGGAGTATAAAAGRCGGACAYTGGATACCATAGGAACGAGAAGTACAACCACTGACCGGTCTGATCGCTTGTTCAGCTGTGTTGGAACATACGATCCGAGCACTGAGAAAATCGAGCAATAATATTASCGTTCTGTAGTCGTCGTGTTCACGTTAGTATTTTCAAATAAGAGATGTACATTTAATTTCAAAATGTTCACAAATTTTGCATTCCAGTTCGGTTGAATTCCCTTCTGTCTTCATTATATATATATATTATATCATTCTTAGTTGGAAAGGATTGTTTAAGAGTGTGGTAATTATCATATTATGGTTTATATTCTATATCCATGCGTTATCATTAACTAGAAATGTTAATATGTGCAAGTTTTAAAGAGAATAATGGCAGTCGTGTATCTTGTATACACATCGTACGCCTTCAGCAGCGAAATCGATAGTATTTTTGAACATACTCTTCAAAACCCTTATGCACTTCGACAGGAGTGAGTTSTCCTTGAWAAACGTTATTTGCTGYTKAATTACTTACATTGGCGGAGTTTCTTGTCCAAACGTAATCTTTCGTGTTAGGCAAATTTCGTTTTGATAAGGAAAGTTTGTTCTTGTTTATGCGATTCAATCACTTGTAATAAAGTTATTTTTATAAATGATGTTTATATTATATATATATATCTATACAGAATACATGTATATCGAGCAACAAAAACGTTTTATATATAGTGTATATATATGATATATATTGGAGAATATTAAAGACATATCTACATGTAAATGACTGTATAGATAACGTCACTTGTACGACATGCGAACTGTTCGTGTCAGTATAAATCTGTAATGACATAGTTTAGTTTTAGAATGAGAAATAAAAACTTTCTAATTTTACAATCAAAMTGTTTGCAGTTCTTTAATGGATGTTTAGACAATAACGTTAATTTTCTCTTGTGATGATTTGGCTGCCATGTTTGTAATCAATTAATATAATGGAATGGRCTCCTCGCACTCGGAGGAGAGCATATCATTCAAAGACGTGCAATACCGCGTCAACTGAAATATCTAACAAATAGAAATATCTTTGTTAAYAGTAACAGAACAGTAGAAAAGAACCTGCTGAAAAGTGACGGGAGRGCACAGAACAAACACAAGCCCAAGATGGTGGCCAGCCGCATCATAACGTAGTTATGGAAACATCTTGGGGCAAAATGAAAAAAAAAATCAATGAAAGTATCAAATTGGTTCATGCAAACAATCTATTTACTAAATAAGCTTTATGACATATCTGCCTGCTTATTAGAAGTTGTTTGCAAATGATTATGAAATACAAATATATGCAAAATTAAATTTTGTTACTAATGTTCATTKTTTTTACCATATCTCAAATGTGTTTGATATCCTATAAGTGAAATGATTTAAATGAAAAGAGTATTAATCTGTTATTCCCAAGAATAACTTAAACGACTTGTTGATTTAGGATTCCAATTGCAAATGTTAATTTAATAATTGCCCTCTCAATAATTAATAAAAACCTTTTAATCAAGCATCTCTAAAGCACACAATGTCTTTATTGCTTAAATATTGTGTCTACAAAATATCARATCATTTGGTGTGTGTGTCTGCGTGATTGATAGGACGTACGGATTCAAGACGCGGTTGGATCAGATCACCGGTAAGTTTRAGTAAGCRCTCTTCTAATATCTCTGAATACTGAATCGCAAAATTTAAATGACCATGATCTGACATCCCTTACAAGCTTTCATTTTTGCTTGAAAATAAAAATACATCGTAATATAACCAAAGCTTACTATTTAGTATCCATTTACGCTATATCAGTTGAGATATTGTAAGTTCCGACCAAGTTCCAAGGATGGATTGTAACGGGTTGCGAATGGATGCTCGAACTCACCTATATAAGCCGTTCCAATATGTAAAATCTAAAACACGACYGAATAGAATGCCGAATGTTCAATTTGTGCGCGATTTGGTCTACCGATGTATGCACTGAAATATGCATACTGAGCAAACTCAGTGTTGTAAAAAAAATGTTAAATACCGATCAAGCGGTTAAAGTATATTAGTGTAATTTGAGGGTAAGGTCTTTATTTTCAAAACCTTTGGAAGGTATATCGTACTATGCACTCTAGGTCTTGAGGGAGGGCTACTATGTTCTTGTAGATAAACGCTGGATATACCAGTCAATAGGATTTGTGYGAATCGAGCAGCGCTAAAAGAATGCAGAGCAAATCTAGTGGGATTTCATGCTTTTATTTCACATTGCATACGAACGATATTGTTGGATACCGTTTCTACAGTAACGTGGAGGCAAAAATTAAATACTTTATTTCGTTTATTAAAAACAATTAYAAAGTCAAACATTTATTTATCATCTATTGAATATAGCACCTTACAGCAATTACCCACTATTCTGCCTAAATTAAATTGTTATTGCTAAAACAACAATAATAAATTACCACAGGTTTATTAAGTTAGTTCTGATCGGGGGATAGATGGGCGATAAAAGTAAGTGGGAAAGGATTTCATTAGTTTTGCATTGAGCTGGGAAAATGGGACATTAATTACAATGAAAATAATGAAAAATTGGAGGAAAATTAAATTTGGAAATGGGTTTAGATTTCAGTAGATACTAGATCTTTTTTGCTATGTTTTTAGGGTCAGTTCTTCTACATGGCATTACGAGTGTTTACGGTCATTCTTGTGTTAGCTTCGGTACTCACAGGTAAGCATATGAAGAACCAATGCTAAGTGCATAAGATCGTTGGTGGAAACTAATAATGTTTGTCGACAAAGCTTCATCTAGGGGAGCTATAACCCAAAGTTTTGACCCTCAGATGCAACTGTATGTACAGTGCGTGTGACTATAGAGATGACTATAGAGATGCGACATTGTAGGCTTTTAAAACATGTATCCATGAGCCTTTGAAATCGCTTTTTTGTTTTGCAAATGATCTCTTGTTAAAAGCTGCTTTTTGATTGGATTAAAATCAAATTAAAGAGTACGAATTTTTCTCTAATGTGAGAAAATCGCGGAAAGGTTCTCCTTTAGTCCACAGTTAAATTCCAAACAATATCCAAGACGTTTTTCAAATGTGCTGATTACTCTGCCTTCAGTTTCGCAGGGTTCTTTACCGCATACAACATGCAAGAGGACGTACGACAAACTTGGTGGATTCAAAGAAAAGRGTGGTCATCGGGCATTGAAAGTCATGCTGCTTACTGACAGGGACAAGGACAGTGATTTAAATGATGGTCACGTGATCAARTGGGACGAATGGAGTGAATCAGTCCACAGGTAGATGAATCATTGTTGCAAAATGTAGGAATAGATAAGTAACTTATCAAAACGTCTGTTCTTTATTTATTTGTTGCGTTAATACATTGGGAGGTCTTCTTTACAGCTTGGCATGTAGATGCGCTGCAAAAACAAGAGAAAAAGGTTGGAAGGTATTTGGTATTCAGTTCTTTGGAGAATGCTGGAGCGGTCCAAACGCCCACAAYGAATACAARATACAYGGTCCTGGAAYCCCAACCTATCAGTTCTTAAAKCCAGTGAAGCCTTGTAACAAGTCTCTGGATCATGAATGTGTTGGAGGAGAGTTCGTTAATTACGTCTATCGCCTACAAGGTAATCGYTTTTTGAAGTGGATTGATGTTGCTTTAGTGTGCAGYCATGTTTTTTAATGAGTTCTCGATACTGACAGATAACGCTAATTTTGCAGAGAAAGCTTACAGGCATTGGCTTGTTATGCCTAGAATTTTGTATAACTGTATTACTTCATTGTTTTAATAATGAAATATAAGTGCTATGATTCGTTTGTTCTAAGATTTAGATATCGATGGTGGCTACACCAAGTGGTCTGATTGGTCCAGCTGCAGTAAATCTTGTGGAGCCGGTAAAAAGTCACGTGATCGCACCTGCACCAATCCCACACCATCGGGGAATGGTCGAAACTGTCAACATCTTGGTCCGAAATCTGAAGACGTTTCTTGCAATCCACAGCCTTGCCCAAGTAGGATTTTCGAGTTCTTTATCTCATAGTAATATTATGAAATACTATGGATACGAAAAAAAACATTCACATATGCTCTCTACATATSTACGTGAAAAGCATAAATATAAGCAATTTACATGAAGTACATTTTTTGTGGCACAGGTACATCACTAGAGCTATTTTTTCGGCCATCAGCTATCGATTAAAAACTTCCAATATGCAATAAAACGTTTTTTGCTCGAGATTAAAAACTACCAAACCCTTATGCATACTCTCTGTAAAGGGAAATCAATCCCAGATATCATGTTTTACAGCCTCTTCAGTAAATGTTGACGGTGGATGGTCGGCGTGGTTACCATGGTCCAAGTGCTCGGTGACGTGTGGAGGAGGAACCCAGGTTCGCTCCAGGAAGTGCACCAGTCCCAAGCCACAAGGATTAGGTAAAAGTTGCCAGGGTGATGCCCAGRAATCACGTGCATGTTTGGAAAAGCCTTGTCCGCCTCGTAAGTTTTTAATTTTTTGTCAAGATTTCCTATATTATTTGGTTGCTAAAAATAAAATAAAAGTAAATAACACCAAATCTAATTAGGTTCTCTAATCAGTTTTATCCTGCTGTACATATTCATATGATCACTTAATTCCCAATGTCTCCCCAGCATGCAACAATGCAATGGATGTCGGGATTGTTCTGGATGGCTCAGGAAGCGTCAGACAAGAAAACTTTGAAAAGGTCCTAAACTTCCTTGCAAATCTAGTCTCCTATTATAAAGTTTCTCCAGGTGGCACCCACTTTGGTCTGATTACATACAGCACCAATCCTACCATGGAGTTTACTCTGGCTGATAAGCAATACCATCATCTGACGTCATTAAAACAACGGCTTCAATCTGTWAAGTACCCGGATGGGCTCACTCATACTGATAGGGCGTTACTTTTGGCCGGACTTGCGTTGTATACTCCATATGGTGGAGATCGTCCCTCAAAATCGAACGTACTGGTTGTATTTACCGATGGCAAAACAAGTGATGATAGCAGACCGTATCCTGAAGTACTTATGCCTTTGCAGGTAAATCGTGGTTTTAAAAAATTCACATAGAAAAAAACTGACCATCATTTTTGCGTGAGAGAAGAGTTGCTTTATCGTTAAAGATTGGGTATGRTTACGTCCAAGGTGAATACCACATACACTGTTTGCCCATAAAAATRATTATTTTTCAGGCAAAAGGTGTACGCACCATTGCTGTTGGAATTGGACCAGAGGTTGATCACGACGAGCTTCTTGCAATTGCAATGGGTGACCCTAATTAYGTGATCCATGCCACAAGTTTTGACTCACTGAAAGATAAATTAGACGCTATCCGTGATGATTCTTGCAAAGGTAATATAACAATACAACAAAACTTATCATTCTCGAGTTTCGTAAATATATGCGTCCTTTTTTACTTCAGTCAATGCCCCTCCACCACCAACTCCTGAATGCCATAGATACGATCCACTGGGGATGTCTAACGGTGGAATAGCAGCTCACTCAATCAAAGCGTCTAGTCAGCTAAACAAATACARCGGTCCAGAGCTTGCTCGTTTGCACATGAGACAGGTTGGGAAAAATGCRGGCGCATGGAGCTCAAAATACAACGACATGGAGCAGTGGCTGCAAGTGCATTTCGAAAACGCTGTCAAGATCATTCGGTTTGCTACCCAAGGGAGAAAAGAGACGAACAACTTTATAAAATCGTTTTGGTTGTCGTACAGTCAAGATGGTGAATACTTCATTCCTTACACTCACAAGGACACGATTGTTGTAAGTGAAGTGCATTTTTCTATTGAAGCAAATCAGATTACCGTAATAGATTTGAATCCTTTGCAAGGTCTTTGCAGGAAATAAAGATGGCTCCAGTGTGGTGGTAAACAATCTACCAAAGCCAATTTACACACGCTACATAAGGTTGCATCCAATGTCTTGGTCAGGGCATATTTCATTAAGAGCTGAATTCTACGGTTGCCAATCAGGTTTGCTATAAATCCAGTATATTTTAGCTTAGCCGCTTCATATATTCCAGGCATCTATCCACATGACTATAATGCTCCTTATCGATATCTGCTATCTACTACAATTTGGTGATATATGTTTATCTTGCAGGGTTTAGTGCTCCTCCTGTCAATCGCTGCCACAAACGTCTTGGAATGGAAACAGGTGGCATCCTCGACCACCACATCAGCGCTTCATCTCAGTTCAACAAAGAATCAGGTCCTGTTAATGGTCGTCTTTACCTTCACCCTTCTGTGGGCAAAGCGGGAGCATGGCGCGCAAAGATAGATGACCTTCATCAGTGGCTCGAAGTTGACCTTGGTCCAATCACTAAGGTCAATATTATCGCTACACAGGGTAGGCAAGATGAAAACCAATGGGTTGAGAGCTATTCAGTATCATTTTCTTCAGATGCAGTCTTCTGGGAATATTACAGGCAGAGAGAAAGAACAACAGTAAGTTACATCACTGTTCATTTATCAAAATAAGTGAACAAGTTGAGAAAGATGATTTTTAAAATCTTTTCAATCTTTTGAACACGAATATTTTTCTCCTTGAAGATCTTCTCCGGAAACGTAAACAGATATTCAGTGGTAAACCAAGCTCTGAAACCTCCAATCTATGCACGACATATACGCATTCATCCCAAGAGATGGCACGGAGCTATCGCTATGAGAATGGAATTCTATGGATGTCGCGTAGGTAGGGAAAAGTTTTTATCATTGATGTGGCAGCGTATAAAAGGCTTCAGTCGAGAAACTATTGGTGTTTCGATGCATGAGATGATACAAATATGTCAACATTATATTGCTATACACCAAATTCTGAAAAACCATTTTGTGAACAGGTTTTGACGTACCGCCAGGACCAAAATGCATCGATCCATTAGGAATGTCAACTGGTTTAATCCCAAATGCACACATAACGGCTACATCATCGAAAAACCACCAATCGATGCCATTCTTTTCGAGACTTCGCTTGCCATCCGGTGCGTGGTCTCCTAAGGTAAAACCAATCAGAGAATACGTAATCGATACGAAACATCCTGTTCAATTGTCGATGGCTTTTAGCATATGTCTTGTCATTTCAGACAAACGATCTTGGCCAGTGGCTTCAAATAAACATAGGGAAAGTATCAAAAGTTACTCGAGTGGCAACTCAAGGATCGTTCAGAGCTGACAACTGGGTAAAGTCATACAACATTGAATACAGCTTGGATGGCGGCCATTTTGATACATATTGGCGAACACTTGAAGGAAACCATGACAGAACAAGTATATCAGGTTAGTTCTAATGGTTATGAGGTATGTGTATAATGAGTCTTCATATCGATACATAAAGATATATTTGCACATGTTGTTATTTATATGTTTCAGGACATGTTCTTCACCCAAGTGTATTTGCACAATACATTCGAATCCGACCTAAGTCATGGCATGGTGCAATTGCTCTTAGACTTGAGTTATATGGATGCAGAGAAGGTAACTAGCTACATTATCTAACCAACTAGATTATCTTTGGCTTTTTTTAAAGTTCATTAATGTTTGGATCACGATCGAAATATTTCTTATATCAGAGATTTCCAATTCCCTTTGAATTACAACATAGTGATTCACTCACGAGAGTTTTCCGTTTCCGCGGGATTTCCAAGATGGTTTCTGTTTAACTAGATTCTTGAGTTCTATGAGATTTACTGAATGTTTCTAGGTTTTACTGCTCCACTTCCTAAGACATGCATGGAATCGCTTGGAATCGAGGGTGGTAAGACGAGTGATTCACAGCTAAGCGCTTCTTCTCAGCTTAGTGCGTCAACTGGACCATCCCAAGGAAGGCTTCATCTTCATGCGAAATCAGGAATGTCAGGCGGATGGGTTGCCAAGACAACAAAGGATCAATGGTTTGGTGTTGATTTTTATGACACTGTTAAAGTTACGCGCATGTCGATTCAAGGGCGTCAGGACGCTGACCAGTGGGTTACCAGTTTTATTCTCAAGTACAGCAGTGATGGATATTTGTACGAGACGTACAAGATTAAGGGAAAAGAGAAGGTTTGTAGTTACTAATATATGATTAAACCTGCTCAATAATCAATCGATACCTTTTTTTATTTTCGCAGTTGTTTTATGGAAACAAAGATCGCTACACCGTTGTTAGTCACGTGCTAAATCCAGCAATCATTGCACGATATTTCCGTATCTTCCCAAAATCCTGGCATAATGGTATTGCACTGAGAATGGATTACTACGGGTGTAAATCAGGTAAGAATACAAACTAATAAACTTTGTGGATTTATTTCTTGCAACAAATATTGAGGATAGGATGGTATGTCAATGCGGACTAAGAAAATCTGTTAACTGTACATCACTGTATTGACTAATTTGTAAATTGCATTCAAGATTTCATCCAGCCTACCAAGCCACAATGCACCAAACCCGTCGGCATTGCAAACCGAGAGATCCTGGACTCGGCATTAAAAGCCTCGTCCTCTTGGAATTCCGCTAGCACCGGTCCACAATGGGGACGGCTTAACTCGGTACCACAGGGATCCCACGGAGGTGCTTGGGTAGCAAGGACCAATGATAATAAGCAATGGATGCAAGTCGACCTTGGCGGTTTGAGCAAAGTTACTCGTTGTGCAACCCAAGGACGTCAAAATGCCGATGAATGGGTGACAAGGTATACAGCTCAATACAGCAAAGACGGTAAAACATTTGTAACGTATCAGAACTTTGGCGTAGATAAGGTAAATATAATAGACTATTATTAAGTATTATCTTCAAAATGTCAAGTAGTAAATGTTGTGTTTTCTAACATTTTCTCAGGAATTCAATGGTAACAGTGATAGAAGTACAGTGGTTGTCAATGCTTTTGATCCTCCAATTGAAAATGCACGTTACATCCGGGTACTGCCGCAGAAATGGCACAATCACATCGCTTTGAGAATGGAGCTGTTTGCATGCAAAGGAGGTTAGTCTAACCTACATTGTAACAGAAAAGTATATTCTATACTGTAACACAACAAAATATGCTCACTACTGTAATTTATCGTTCAACAACCAGCTCCAGTCATTCCAACCAATGGCCCATCATGTTCTGCCCTTGACCTTGGCATCGCTATCGATTGTTCGGGAGGTGTTCAGCTCCAAGACTTCCAGAAGGTCCAAAAGTTCTTGCGTCGACTTGTAGACAAACTACAGTTGTCACTCGCAGGAAATAGAATGGGTATCATCTGTTTTAACGACTATACTATGCCCATGGTCAACTTTGCCGATACAGGTTCTCAGGAAACAGGTCGAATGAAAACTATTATTTCTCATGTTCCCTACATGTTTGGTGGTTCCCGTCCTGACAAAGCTCTAGCTTTTGTTGATAGTTACTTCTTCTCTCGTGCTGGTGGGGATCGTCCTGACAAAGCGAACGTTCTTCTCGTTTTGACGGATGGAAAGAAAAGTCCCAATACTGCACCGTTTCCTCTGGTTCTCGCACCACTACTGGTGAGATTTGTTGGTGATCTTCTTATGATTACATATTTACAATTCATTTATATATTTTATTATCGATTACTTTATTATTGTTTTAATTTTTTAAAGCAATTATGATAAGATATATTGACTAGTTGAAGACTTTTCCTTAGAGGCAATCCTTATTTACTGCACATTTCTTATGTATTATTCTTTGCTTCACGATGAACGTTTCTTCTTAATACAGCGCAAGAAAGTCAAAATAATAGCAGTAGGAATCGGTCAACAACCTGTCAATTCCGAGCTGCTTGCAATCGCAGGCCAACACAAGGACCGAGTCGTGCACATGAGCAACTATAACAAGCTTTACAGTCTTCTTGGGAACGTAGCACATGGATCATGCACGCCACCAACACTTGCTCCACCGTCACGTTAGTAGCATTGTCTTGGACAAAATTGTTCCCTGCCAAAGTTCATCCAATTCATCCAGTATCCGAAAGCTAACCTTTACAACTACCGAAAATTGTCAACCCACAAGCAAAAACCCCAATCAATCATATATGAACTAGATATAATAATATAATATAACTATTTTTGATTGCATATAAATATATCTATATTATCCATAGGTTGTAAAAGCGGTTGGATTGAATACAAGTCTCATTGCTACTTCTTCGATCACACTGGTAGCACCAGCAGCTGGTATGATGCACGAGGGAAGTGCTATAGGCTGGCGCACGGTGGTCACGTGGTAGACATCAGGGACACCAGTGAATGGATGTTCGTGAGAAGCCATCTCCAGAGCGGGAAACACTACTTCATTGGGATGAGAGATGAGCCTCTTGAATCGTGGTGGATGTGGCAGGATGGAACATTAGCAAGGTTCTTCAAGTGGGCACCTGGGGAGCCTAATGGTGGGTCACGTGAGAACTGTGCTGTCATGTCATCCTCTGGTTCTTACAGTGACTCTCCATGTAACGCTAAACACGGCAACTATATTTGCAAGGCCAAAGTACCATCCCCTTGAGGTAAGACTACAAAATAAGTACTTCAATTAACACATTTGATTTATATCCAATGTTTAATAGAAAGGTGAAGCTTCGTCACCGAATGCGCATCACCAGGACAAAGCGTCATCATCCATGATTTGTATCGATAAAACTACTAAAAATTGCTACTTAAAACTGTGGAATACACGACATACAATGCATATAACTGTTATTATTTTGCTTCTATCATGCAGGGATCAAGTCATCACTTGGAAAATTTGCAAATGTTGCAAAAAATGAAATAAAATTTCTTTGAAAAATTGAAGTCTCATCTGTTAAATTTCTAAATGAAGGATAAATCAGATAATCTGTAATCTTGAGGTCAAACTTGCGCTTTGAACATTGAAAATGTTTTTCCCATACAAGTACAAAGTAATGAGTCTATTCGCTGATGGGTTATCAGTGGATCATACAATTACAAAATGAATGATTTGTGAAAGAGCTTTATCTTCTTCTTTGTTGCTATTCTTGGAGATAAACGGTAATTGACAAAGTGACCTTCATCGTGGGCGGATGTCTTGTGGACCTCATATCAAACCTCTTAAGATCCTTGAAAGGCTTGAAATAAGTGAAGGACGTTTCTGGAGATCTGCAAAATGTCATTTTCTCTTGTTAAAAGCATTTACGTACTTGTCAGTTCTTTGTTTGTTTGTTAGTTAGTTTTAAAACATTCAGTGCTATATAAACTATGTAATTATACTCAGTTCTGGTTATTTTGTGTTGCCTGCGTTACCATCAAGCTTTAACGTGAAGGAAATAACACACGGAAAAATGTCCAAAATTGAGTTAACAGCTAGTGTACTGTGTAGTGTCGTTTCTATAAAAAAAAACCTTTACAGTTTAACTTCTCGATGATGTACACGCCCTAAATTTTTTTAACCTTCCGGAAATGTTTATTTTAGCAAAGCCCCACTAATCATTTTACTTTGGCTTTGGTTTACTCTATTTTGATGAGGTCACTTCACCAACGGCGCCACAAGGAGGCGTTTAGAGTGAAGTGCTATCTACTCTAAAACTGATGCTTGAAATATTTCAATTTTAAATCGAAGTCGAGTGCCAATGGTTCCTATACTATATAAAAATACCAGATACATGTTTGACAGACGAGAGAAGAGAAAATTCAAGTGTTTTAATACTTAAATAATATTTAGATTAATATTAATATTAATAGTTAAAAATCTGTTGGAAATATCGAGTCATATTCATTTGAAAATCACTCTGTTACGTGCTAACTCTGACGTTTTTTAGCCATAAATTAATGAATCAAATAGCCAGAGGCGATTTTGGTTCATGTCCTGGCGATAACTAGCGTTACAAGTTTGCGTGACTTAAGATATTGTTTAAGATTTTCAGTTTTATCAGAGCAAAACTGAGCGTATTTTATCTGTTTTCGGGAATGTATTGCGTTTTTTAGGTGTTTGATGTTCCTAATCCACATTCCATGTAGACCGGGACGTATAAATCAGAGCCTTTTTGATCACCTATAAATTACACTACGCTATTCATGGTACGGAAATTAGTCTACAACGATGAACGACAGACATCAAAATATCGAAAAGCGTTTTTTTATCAAAGCTGTTTTCAAACGCCACTTGAAATTCGTCTCAAAGAAAACGTCGAAGGCGGTCCAATCTTCTAGCAAAGGTACAATCATCTGCATCAGTAGATTCAAACAAAACCGGCAAAAGATAATTTCAAAATTGCGTTAACCCAATGACAGACAAATTATAATCCGATTATAATGGCCCATTATTTATGAGGCGAGTTTTTAAGTGTCCAGGAAATCCCACCTAAATTTTTGTGCTGTTATCATACCCCTTATACTACTTACCCATATCCATACAAAGCTTATAGTTGTCTTAGATATCAGTCACCTCTCCTAATTACTTTAGACAGCGGGAGTGTAATTTAACAGTAAGATGGTTCCCTGTGCCGCCCTTCTAGATGGAATTTGAAGAATTCAACCAAACATTGCAATTGAGATCTCGCAAACGTCGAGTCAGGGGTCGAGAAAGGGTCCTCAACTTGGTGATTCACTTGTAAAAACCAATTTTAGACCCAAAATAGCACGGAAATGCTCTGTTCTTCGGCCACTTAGGTCATCATAGAGTTATAATTCCTTAGATTCACAATAACGACTGTATTGGTGTATTTTATTTTTCTGGAAGTCTTTATTGGAAGGCTCAATGCCAGAATACAAGGAGAAAGGCACTGGAGAGTACTTCGGGCCAGATAATCAGGATTCAGTGCCATTATACGGAATGGCAGCGAGTGGTGCTCGAGCTTTGCTACTTTGGTCGAGGCAGCAGACCGAAGGGTACAACGATGTGAATATTTACAATATGACAAGTTCTTGGCGAGATGGACTTGCCTTCTGCGCAATTATCCATCGCTATAGGCCTGACTTAATGTAAGTATCGAAACACGTCTTGGTGCTCTCGTCATATTGAATATGGTATTCAATAATTTGACTATATTTTTCTTTCTGTCTGCTTTAGCGAATTTGACAAACTCTCCAAAGATAACATCATACAGAACAATGAGTTGGTATGTTATGTTTGTGTACAATAGTGAATTGAAGTTGATTGATTTGAATCGATATTCAATTGAGTTCTGTTCAGCTATTGAAAATCAAAATTATAGAAGAAACTTGCTGCTCTATAAACCCGATGTAAAATAAATATATAATTCACTGAGGTCAACGAATGATAACAACAATAAAAGACTTGCTAAAGTACATTTGCCAATGCGAATATTTAGAAAAAAATAGTTTCTATTCATTTATTTATGGACTCAAAGTCACAAAGCTGTGCGTGATTTTATGCTGCCGGAATAATTTCATGCTGTTTTTACCTCCATTTGTGAAATAAGAAGTTGCAATGTTTTCTCTTCAAACTGATTATCTTATTAAGTCAATGCTATCAAAATAGTTCCCAAGCGAAGGTGACAGACTACATGAAAGATTTGAAGACAGAAATAATACAAATTATTCACTAATTGTGAGTTAACTTGACCCTAATTCGCGGTCGGCTGCCGCGTTCAACATATTCATTACAGATGATGGTTCGGATGAATTGATTTACTGAAGACTGTTGTCAGTGTATATGCTCAGTGAATATACCCCTGCAGCTATCACAACGTGATGTCGAATCTTTTGGCTAGGATAAATCAAGCGCACGAGTGCTTGTTTGATAGATTTTTAATGGGAAATATTCAAATCTCTGGTTTTAAGACTTCATCTTTGCAGTCTTTGGGATAAATTATTGAAATTTTCAGTAGATTATCACAACGCTTTATGGCGTTTAAAATCACAAAATCTTTTTTTGCACGAGATCTGTCATTTGAACCGATGGCTCTAATTAAAAGGCCACAAGCAAGAAAATCCTTTCATTACGCTATAATCCAGCCACCGATAAAATAGACCTTTAATTTTAAATGTACACACTGGTATATACGACAACCGAAGTTTTATCAGATTTTCTGTTCATTTTCATATCGTTTGTAGATATAAGATGATTTATCTCGACAGGATGTTAGAGAGCATATGCAGTCGTCTGATATGATAGACAATTTATGGATTGAGATAAAATCAACTTCCGATGATTTTTTTTTTCATTAACGGTGTATCGCTGACGGAATTTTTTTTCGTTTATCTACTTCACTTTTGCCCCTTTTTTATACGTTTATTTATTTATATGTTATCTTTAGAAACCATTTTCGTTACATCTTTCTTTTATTTGACTTAAATAAAAGAAAGATGTAACGAAAATGATCAGGTTTACGAATTCTAAATTGGTTGATGGACTAAAATTACTTCGGTGGAGAACGCCAGTGCAGAAATAAATCCTCGACAATTGACAAAAAAACTAACCCAACGTAATTAAAAATTCAAATAGAAACCGAGTTAACATCATCACTACTTTCTGCAGTCTGTATTACTAATCCCCCTTACAATTTCCTTCAGGCGTTTGACATTTGCGAAAGACTTCTTGATATTCCGTCCATATTGGACGTAGGAGACATGGTGGAGAACGCCGTTCCTGATAAACTAAGTGTCCTCACATTCGTGTCACAGCTGTTCAATTATTTTAAAGATAAGATTCCAGGTAAGCGTAACTCTAATTTCTCTAAGATGGGAATGCAGCGAGAAGTATAGCTACAGCTATCTTTCAAAAATTGACTCTTAGAGTGACCTCGAAACAACTTCCAAAATTCGAAAATTTAAACCATTTCTAGAAATAATTAAACCTCGTTCAAATGCGCAGACAAACGTATGGACAAGTCGTAAAACTACTTTTATGGGTCCTTTTTGGAGAGGTGCGGAGGGGGCGTTCAAAGGCTCAAGGGCTTTCAATCTCAGACTCTTTAATCTCAAGGGCTTTCAAGCGCCATTAATCTCAAGGAAATAATTAAGAACTCTCATTGTGGTAAAGAGCAAATTAAAAACAAAATCACAAATAGACAAACAATACTAACACAATATGTGAACAATAACTCTTTCGTCTGACAGCAGAAGTCTTAATCATTTGGACACCATTTGCATCTTCTAGAATTCACCCGACCCGTCTGTTCAACATAACTAACATGTCATGTTTATTAATAAATTAGCTAACCAAGTTGTGTCTACAAGAATGAACGCCTCTATCAAGTCCAAGAACGAAGCGGCTATGATAGCCAAAGGAAAGCGTGTTTCCCAAAGCAAAGCCAAGAGGTTTTCATCAGCTTTAAAAAACGTTTTCAAATCCGAAACCAAAGATGACCGTTTGAAAGTTGAATACCCTTTCCACAAACAGCCGAGTACTGAGAATCTGAAATCTGCTCCAGAAAGCAACGTAAGTATGTTGTCTTGACTCGTCCATTTTTATAAGGGTATCAATTAGAGTTTGTCATAACCACTTTTTATACGCACAAAACAGGAAAAGAAAACAGATGTTGTGAACAGCCCACGTCAAACAAGCATTGGGACTATTTGTTCGTCTTGTCACACCAAAGTTTACATTCTGGAACGACTGGTTGTTGAGCACAAGCTTTTCCACAGGGCTTGTTGCAAGTGCAGTAAATGTGGCGCCGGCCTGAGACCTGGTACTTACACATATTGCATTGAAACCGAGGAATTCTACTGCATATATGCATGTATGGGAGGTAGGTTGCATAGGGTTGCATTGCGTTATCATGTTTGAAGGTGTGCAATATTGAAAGCAATACCGTACAATAGGAGGGAGAATATGGTCCTGTTATGACGCGTTAGTGTTGTAATCCAGTCTTCACACAACTGCTGAAGTAGCATAAGTTCACATTTCGAAGATTACAACCATGTCAACCATAAGTCATTTTCATCTTCGAATAATCTTTTTTTACCAAGTACTTCAGCATTTGATTGGAAAAATGACGAAGAGTAATTCTTCAAAGGACGTTTTTTGTATTTACACCTATATTTTTGCTCATGTAATTGTGAAAAGGCAGATCATATCTGGAAATTCTTTTGGTAGATTTCAAGAGGACACAAGAAGAAATCAGAATCAAACTCCAACCTATCAGTGACAAAGTCTTTGATGTCCTGGAAAAGGAAAGTCAAACATCCAGCACAAAACGCGGTAATAATTCCCCATGGAGCTCGGACGGAAACACTTTGGCACCATTTTCAATCGTCAAGAAAAACATGATCTCTATTGGTTCACTTGATAAGAGTTTTGAAGACTTAAGCCAAAGGCGGAAAAAATCTTCAAGCAATCGGAAAGACACTAAAGAAAAGATTGTAACACAAGATTTTGAAGAATCGAAGAAGTCGCGCAGCCATAACACTATCCATCAACCAGGTGCAAAAATCGAAGTGGAAGTAAAAAGAGAGAATGGGAAAGTGAAGTCTTGTGTTAAAATCAGTCCTGTTAAAAATAGACAACAGCATTCAGACGAAATAGACAACTCGGATGATCATAAGAAGCCTCAGTCAACTTGGAAGGAAAAGGCAAAAGGCCGTGTCGGATTGAATGATGCCTACATTCGAGAGGAAGAAGAGAGGCCACAAGAGGGGAGTGTAAATAAACTTCGTATGAAGTTTCTGAAAATTGACGATATGATCGAAGACAAACATCGGCAAAAACTCGCTAAGAAAAAAGAGATCATGCAACGAGAGATTGGACGAGTTGTGCCTACATGGAATGAAGAGATCAATGGCAAGAATGGAAAAGAGGATAGTGATTCGCTGTCGACGACTCATCCAAGCCTCGATTCCGATTGTGACTCTATAGCAACATCAAGTGGGCAAAGCAGTTCATCGCATATGGAGGATAAAAATGCTGCCAAAACAACAGAAGACAAGACAATATCTACAAAACAGAATCTTGTTTTGAATGTAGACGAACTAAAATCAAAACGTCGCGGAAATCAAAGAAATAAGAAAAAGGCCAATTTATCTATTCAGGAATCAAGTTCATCATCGACTCCATCAACCCCTTCTCCAACTAACCGTACTATTCCTATTATCGTACAGCAAACAGCTGACAGTGACAATGAGCCAGAGCAAAGAGGACGTAGTGTCAGTCAAACATCATCAACATCGGGGGCCTTGAGCCCTGGCAGTGACTCATGCTTTAGTTCAGAAACACCAAATTCCCCAGGTGGACCGTGGCTAGGCCAAAATTCCATGGATGAAACCAAAAATGACGATCTTCCAAAAATGTCGATTATTATAGCACAGGAATCGTCTTCTACAAAAATTAACAGTCGTTACTTCACGGTTGAGACGTGTGAGAGCAAGGACAGAAATGTTATCATGGAAGACAAAGAAATAGAAACTGTTGACATTGAAGGTGAATTCAAATTCGATGATGATGGAAATAAGTACACAACTGCACAACAAAATGTTCTCAGATCATTTAAAAACTGCAAGATCACTAGAGACAAGTCAGACCTTGTGAAAGAGGAGGACGTTTTTCTCTCGCCTTTAGAAATTATCGATGAGTTGAATGCACTGGGTACACTGCTGACCGAGCTGGAAAAGCGAGGAGTTAAAATGGAAATGCTGCTGAGACAAAGCCTTTGCTGTAAGTATTTAACGATTCAAAGTTGGTTTAGTCATCCTACCACAATATCATTTCAACATCTTTTCGTATAGCCGAGCGTTCAATAGAAAAAGAAGATGAGCTTATGCGGGAATGGTTAACTCTTGTGCAGGAAAAGAACATTATATTAAGACGAGAGTCAGAACTGATCTACTTGTAAGTATCTTCTAATAGAAAGAAATGTCCCTTGCATTTCATTGGAATGTTACTTTATCTGGGGGACAAAACAATGGACTTTAGTTCTCAAGAGAGCAATAATCTTTTGATTTGTCTCTCAGATGAGGCTGTCTTCATACAAGGTTAGTCTCAAGTTGTCTACTGGTAGTGAACAGTGCACTCCAAACATTTGACTCGATAATACAATTATTTCTCAGGTTCTCTAGTGGACAGTGCATTAAAAACATTTAATTAGAATTAGATAATGCAAACTTCTGTTTTGAGATGCCATAACTATCACTTAAACTAAATCCATGTATTTGCTATTTGTACTCTCTTATAAGGTTAAAGTTCCATCAGTACGAAGATCGATACCTGCTCGTTGAATGTGAACTTCGAGCACTGCTTTCTATAAAAGGTAACCTTTCCTTTCCTTCCCTTTCCTATTTTCCATTTTTTTTCCTATTCATCCTTCATTCCTTAAATCGAATAAAAGCACTTGCCATGTGTTTGACCTCCATTTTTGAGGAATATCTATACTATCACTTTAGATGATGTTAAGACAGTGGAAAACGTAAAGAGAGAACGAGAACTGATGTCAGAGCTCTTCGGTCTTGTCCAGCGAAGAAGCAGCATTGTTGACAAATTAGAAGAGGATAAATTCATGTAAGAAGATTTATTGAAGAAATTTATTCTAATTTACATTTTTTCAGTACCACAATAAGACACAACTATTCTTTCTTTCCCGAGACAAAATACTTTCATGTGGTGATGAAAAAATATGTCAAAAGTTATAAAGATGGCAAAAGTGGAGAGTAATATTAGAGTGACATCATAATCTATGTAATATTAATCATTCGTTTGAATTAGGGAAAAGCAAGAGGACGAAACTCTCAAACTTGACATTGATGGTATGCCAACAGCAATAATTACACAATTGATATACCTTTAGTTATCTTGATCGATTAATGTAGCTTGTAATCTAATATGAACATTATTTATTTCAAAGGGAGAAGTGAATCATGGGATCAAAAGCAAGACTACACTAAAGTTGCTTTCTCGCGATTCTACTGCTAAGATGTTGTACATGTTGTAAATAATTCAAATCAATAGTGTGTGTGTATCTGTAAAAACGACAAGGTTACCATGGGGGGGTGGGGGGGGCATGGGAAGGCAAATATTACGAATATAATTACAGTGCTTTAGAGTCAAAAGATCGTCTGTACTGAATAAAATGACCTTCTATTTGAGAAATGGTTATATAATGTAAGATGTTTAGGGAAATTAGAATTATAATTTTTGAGTGGTTTCTGAATCTCTTTCGGAGTTGTCTAGGGTGATATGACCTTTTTCATACATTAATTCAACTAGGTGTAATTTTCAAGATTATAAGATGTATAAATTAAGAAAACACAAGTTCATTAAAACGATTTATTTTATAGATCAATGACAATTTCTTACTGGATATATCATGATGTGATAAGGCAATTAATATTCTGAGAATTCGGACGAGAAATCCTTCAAAGATTAGCATATAATTGGAATTTTGGTGACCTACCCGTCAGTTGAATGTCATATGAACCCTCTACTCGTCCAAGCACGTGGCATCGTGGCGAACAAAGACTTTTTTCTAGCTTTTTACTCAAACCTTAACACCTACTAATGTTAAAATTTAAAATTAAGATATAACAAGTTATATTTTTATAGATTAGTTTCAGGTAAGCACTAGACAAAAAGGTGTTTGTTTGCGTGCGGTGTTGCAATGTGTTGAACCAGTTAAATGGCCATACAATTTAGTGCCTGAAAACCACCCCTAATCAGGGACAGCGATTAATAAAAGTCTTTGAAATGACATCGGCCTTTTTTGACGATTACTGAAATGACATCGGCGCTTTTTGACGATTACGTACGATTTAAAGTAAGATGGACCAAAATTCGTTTAGCATTGTCACCATTTTTTTAGAAGTTTACCAAAAGACTGAAGAATTACTGAAAGTATTCATAAACTTGAAATATAAAGCTACTCATAAGTGTTTCTCACGTTGCCTTCATACATTGTATAATCTTCGCGGCGTTAGTTTGATGATTTTAAAGGTCTGGGATATAAAAGTCACCTGCTGAAAGTCAGACGTGAACCGCTGAAGCAAACTAAAGTGTAAAAGAGGGGTGAGATACTTTTGCTTTCATTTGGCAGGCGGCATCGCAAGGACGTTAGCTAAAAGGTAAGATCCAGGAGAAAAAGTATATTGTCACAATAATAATATGTCAAACATTCACGCTGTTAGATGCGAAAACAGAAAAAAACGATATTAGTTTGCTATATTTGATTTTTTTTAATTGATATACATGCCCTGCGAACAGAGTGTTATTTACCTAACCTCATAAAAGAATCGCGAATTTATATGTATTAGTGTGTAGGCGACGGTTTGTTTATCGGCGGGATTCTGAATTCTGAATACTTTTAGTGTCATTTTTTTTTCTGCAGTAATAAGCTATAGTGGACTCTAGTTTCCCTATCTGCAAACACCAACATTAGGTGTTTTGTATCTGTCAGTAGAATGACTAGCAAGGATTTCAAGAGTCAGTGCACACCATTGTTCTTTAATTGTCTAAAATTTATTTATTTCCTGGGCTATAATTTAAAAACAAACTAGAAAACACTATACAAAGAAAACGTTAGTGATCATTATCTAAATTGTGTTTGAAACGCAGTCAAAAAATGTAGAACAGTCCGTCGCTTGTTCAGCCAACCATTATTCAAGGCGGTAAAACAAATTAAGTTTTTAATCACAAGATTTTCCCCAGCGGTAAAAAAAAACTTGTATCGTGACCGACCGCTTAAAAGGCTTCAATCACATGCGCTCATTGGTCAATTTGAAAGTGCACTAATTGAATAGTTTGGTGCCCTCCGCCCACTCTGACATGAACTGACACAAAAGAAAAATTCAACTTCCAATAGATTTTAATATAGTTTTTTTAGAATATCTTAAGCATTACATATACATTTATCGTCTGCGCCATTAATTGATAAAATGATGTTAATTATTATTCGATTGTGTTTCCAAATGCTTCTGTGTCTGACAAGGTGTTCGGACCTCCAACAAGTGTGAAATTGAGTCATGAATATTTAAGGTCCTCGAATTAAAATGGTCTTTTCTATCGAATGTCCGTCTTTTCAGTTTACATTGTTTTATCAGAAGTATTTTTTGGCAAGGAGTATTTATTTTGGCGAAGTGTTAGCTAGAAAAAAAGCATGTCACATACAGTCCGTAATCGTATTAAGATGAAACAATAAAAAAAGAAGAAAAAAGAAGAAGAAGAAAAAAAAAGACAAAGCTAATTGGAGGAGCCGTTTTATTCAATTAGAAATCACTGAAACCAAAGTCAGGTTATGGCTTTTCGAACATTAAGAAGACACTGTGCGCATGCGCGAGTCACCTTCCAAAATTAAGCAGAATTTGCAGTTAAAAAAAAATCCAAGATACCACCGCTTACAGCAGAACAAAGAGTAAGTTCTGAATAAGTTACTAAACTATCACTCCGAATCGTGAATTTAGGCGGACAATAATTTTTTCTGTGTTCGTACTGAGAATGTCACGCTATATGTGACCATATTAGGTGATAGACAAATAATTTATAAAATTACTATAATATAAAATATAATATATTTTACTAATATCACTATTTTTTTCAGGCAATTGAAAATGAAAAGAGTCTCAAGGGTCGCCATCTATCTGTGCGTCCTTATCGCTTTGAGCGAGTTTGGGCCGGCACACTTCCGCCGTCTTCATGCAGAAAAACGGGCTTTAAGCAAGAAAGAGCAACACAAGAGGGGATGGACTGGAGCAGGTGTGCCCGCCCCTCAACTCCCCTCCCCCCTCACCTATTTCCTTTACTTAGCTTTGCTAAATTTTCTACCATTTTCATAATTTTGTACGTATTACTTATAGAAAATGCTACCTCATGTGATATTACTTGTCTTTCTAGTGGCAACTCTTGGGAAATACATCTTTAAAGTGGTAGAGCTCAGTGCTAAGTACTTTAGCGATATATCCTCCGTCGTTGCACTTGTATCAACCATCTACGACGTCGTCAACAAATGTGAGAATACGGAGTATGGTGCAGAAGCAAAACAATACACAGATCAGGCTAAGAAGATTACTGAAAAAATCAACGCAGGAAGCCAGCGAATCAACGCTCTCCAACTTGAAAGTACGTTGATAAAAGCAAAGAAACCTAAGTGGAATATTATAGATTCTAGTACACCTGGAGCGTAGCGAGAATTGAGACTTTTTTTAGAGGAGAGGGAGTGTGTGTGTGGAGGGGGACGAGAAGGGGCGGGGGGGATGAACATGTTGTAAAAAGCTTGATGGTTTATTTCCATTTCTTCCTCAATACATTTATCCAATTCACCACACTATTGCATGCATTACAGAGCCTCTTCCGGGAAGTTCTTTAACTTTGCAGAGAAACCTTGTCCTCGATAGTTCCCAGAAGACTCTTATTCGCCTCCATGATGCATCTACATACCATAATGCACTTCGCGGAAACAAGCATGACGTCATAGGTGGAAATGACCATTCAGACGTCTTAATTATGTTATTTCAGCCGAAAATTTACAGATCCAGATTGAAACTCTAAATTATCATTTCAATCAAACTCTGGATGAGATGGAAGAAGCTGGTTACCTTTCTCAGAGACTTTTGGAAATTATAAACCCTGATGTCGTGGGTGCCCTCGACAACGCCACCATCGACTTGCAGGTATCATATATCAACATGCACTTTAAAAACCATGTTATAATGTTAYACACAGGTATTTTTTCAATGGTTGTTATGCAGATCGATTGGCAATACTCCATTTTACAGCTCCTGCAACACCATATTAAAATGTAGTCAGACCTTTGCACTGAGATGTAGTCAGACCTTTGCACTGAGATGAGACAGCGGTTTTGAGCTAGAAGCGACAGTTCCTATACATTTTTTCACAAATACATATAGAACTACTCAAAGGTGTTTCATGGAAGCCCACAACTGCGGTCTCGATATGACTCAAGGAGCCCTTTAAGCTTCAAGATCGCACTTGGAAATGTAAAAACACAAAACATTGCGTAAAATGGAGATTACATGACAGAACGATAGTAACTTCTGATTTTTTTCGTTTTAGAAACAAATCACAGCAGCGGAAAATATCGAGAAGCCTGTTGACTATGCAACAGTTTCAAAGACATACGTTAAGAGAATCGACAAGGTTGTGAACATTGCTGTACCTGTCATCTCGTTACTTATACCACGTATACCTAAAATTATCAAATTTGGAAAAACCCGCATGGAGACTTTTAAGTCTTTAAAGGTTTGTGGTAATAGTCTCTTTCACGGTTCCCCGAGCCATCTTGAAAGGTAGCCGTGCCTTTGTTTCCAAGCAAGACGACCGTTGAGCATGCAATGATAGAAACCTTCTTTCACACATATAGATAATTATTCTCAGGTATCTATCACTTGCACGATCAACGGTTGTCTAGCTTTGATACAAAGGAACGGCTACCTTTCAACATGGCACCGGGAACCGTGAAGGAGACTATTATGCTCTGGTATTGTCTATGACTGACTGACTAATGAATGATCGACTGACTGACTCATGATCGATTAACTGACTGAGTGATTGATTGACTCACTGTCCGACCGAATAGTTGATTTCTAGATCCACTTTCTCTTCTTGCAGCTTGTTGAAAAATTCCCAAGCATCAAGCTTCCATCAATAAATACCAAGCCATTCAAAGCCTTCAGTAGCTGGTTTGCGAAACCAAAAGCCTTTATTTCTGCTGCAAAAAATAAGCTGAGAGGAAAACTAAAGACTACCTATGAAAAAGCTGCAAAATATGTTGAAAAATTCGGGAAAGCTTTCGGTGTGTTATCAAATCTAGTATTTGCAGGTAAGGAGTACCTTATACTATCCGTTTAATCGTTTTTAGGTGACTTAAAAAGACTGCATTCGAATCAAAAATAAAGAAATAAGATTTCTTAGCTACACAAAGTATATTAACAATCTATTAAGAATTTAAAGTCTTTTTACATATAGCTATCTTTGATGATATCATTGTTTATTAATGGATACTTCTATTTGTTTTATACTAGCATATAACATATACACCATCGTGTCGAACTTTGGACAAAAGCAGTGCATGCAAACACGCGACGAATCCAAAAAGGCATTGGACAAACTGAAAGAAGCCGAAGCAAACTATGATGAAGTTTTGGCAAACGCAACAAGTGCAAAAGAAGAAATGATCAGAGTAAGAATAACTGAGAGATGCATATCATTTATGGTTTATGCTTATAACTAGACAAATTCTTTATATCCTTGTTAGTTTGCTATAGAAAAAATCATATTCAAATGAAATATTTTGTAACTTGGGTTTTGTAGATAAAAGATGAGGTGGTTGCGCAAATTTCCAACGAGACTTTTATAGAAGATTTAAAGAGTATGAAAACGAATATGGAGGACATTCAAGGCGATGGCAATGGCATGCAAGATATGATCGACGCAACAGATGCATACATTCAAAACATACCCGGCAATGACAAAATCGGGGAGGTTGGAAGTTTGATGCAAAATCTTTACGAAAATGCAATAGGAACACTCCCTTTTATCTACAGATGTCTCAATGACAGAGTGGCACTTATTGGGTAAGATTGAATAGAAAATATACGCCATTTTAACCGGTTATGACACTAGAACAAACACATCTAAATACGTCATTTAAGAGTCATACATGTAACCACATCCTACTTTGCTTTTTGTTTTGTTTTACTTTTCTCCTGTTGTTGTTGTTTTAAAGATATTCAAAGCTTCATCCGAAAACCTTTGTGGAATTTTCACAAATACACAAAATCTTTGATTTTAAACCAATTAAAAAGCATTTTCAACCATAGATCATTTGTAAAACAGCAAACAATCGAAAAGGTTCATGGATACAAGTGAAAGATCCGTGCATTTTATTAAGGATTAAAAAGAGATCTCCAGACTATTAAATATGATATTCCATTATATCACCTCAGCTTCGTTGCCGGAGAATGTAAAACAGGAAAACGTACCCTAGAAGAAGCAATACAAGCCGGGAGAACACTCTTCAACCTAGAGATTGAAACATGCAATAAGCGCACAGGGATCCCATACTTCAGCGATGAAGAACTTCAAAGGATGATAAATCAAGCATCGGTAGATCAAGGCTTTAACAAGGAATGCAAACTCAACGACAAATTCACTACCCAATCAATTTGTTCAGCCAAATGTGTACCAAAAGATGCTAATAAAATAAGCACAGACCTTGGTTTACCTTTGGATGCGGTTAGTGTCTCGAGCACAAATAGATCATAGTCCATATTACAATCCCGCCATTTTGAATCGGTTTGCAGTGTGTCATGGGATATATAAATCGGCTCCCTTTCTTCATCAAAACAAATCGCTAAAACCATAAAAACACAAATAAGTTGGATTTTTCCACAGAAAAAAATGTTTGTTTTCATTTTTGCTTGATTTGCCTAGTAAATGGAAATTGAAAAAAGAATTGTATCATTTTGAAATGATAATTGTCAAACTTATTATTTTTTTTCTTTTATTTTTTTCTCCACAGGTAAACGAAATACTGAAGGATTGTCCTGATTGCGAAATAACAGACAATTTCAAAGCTGCCATTTGTGACATGATACAAAAAGGACAATCACCGGAACAAGTTCAAAGTATTTTCAAGCAGTTTACAGTTGAGCAGATCAACGCACTTTCTTGTTAGACAGGTAAATGCAAACCGTTTTCAATAGTCACGGTTACCTGCGTCATCTTGAAAGGTAGCCGTGCCTTTGTATCGAAGCGAGACGACCGTTGAGGGTGCAAAGACAGAAACCTTCTTTCACACCTACAGACAATTCTTCACAGGTTTCTATCATTGCACGCTCAACGGTCGTCTCGCTTCGATGCAAAGGCACGGCTACCTTTCAAGATGGCGCAGGTAACCGTGAAGGAGACTATTGACTTACTACGAGCCCATGACAACACCTGATATAGCCGAGAGCACTTTGAAATCGCCAGGGGCTGTATATTTAACAGTTAATTATGAAATTATGTGAGGCTGCTTCGAGCCAAATTTCCCAAACCCTTTTTACATGAAGGGTTAATATCTCTTAATAATCCAATTACTATGTTATATTTCAGACTAAATGCAGCATTCAAAGCAGATCAAAAAAACCTCAGCTAGAACGTATTGGAATCCCTATCAGGACCTCGAAAAGACACTGTTGATATGTAGAAATCTCTGTAGTCACGAAAAATAAAAATATTTAAAAGCACAATTATTGAAGGAATGATGAGGGCACGCCGGGAGAAGAATTAATGGAGATGGAGATGAGGGAGGGGTGGAAGGACAAAGGGAGAGATGGGTGGGGTAGATGACTCCTTGACCACAAATTGTCATTTAATAGTCAAATTTCCATTCAATGTGCATGTGCGTTATGTCAGTGCGTCAAATGCAACAAATCAAATGCATAGAAGAAACATTTTATTCCTTGACTGAACGAAATAGAAAATTTCACACAATATTTTCCAACGTGGATGTTGTTTTAAGTACAAAGATTTGTTGACGCATGCACTGTCTACATATAACCCTGACTAAAATTTTTATCCACTTCAAAAATGTCACTCCTTTTGATGTATATCTGGACTGAAAACGAATGTGCAAAGAGTATCTCTTGAATAACATGGCATTGTGATAATGGTTATAGGATACTATAGGATACTATATGAGCGCGCGGAGATACGGATTTTATAGAGTGACTTTCAACACGAGAAGATAAGAATTCGTATCTCCAAGCGACCATGTAATATTCTGTTTATCATATAATTACATATGAAAGCAAATTATGTCGTAGAAATAGCTTTTTTCTTACTTCCACTRTAAACCTTTTTAAAGGTTAACACATTAAAATGTGTTATTTTCGGCATAACAACTTGACGTAAAAAATATAGGTATCTTAGAGATAATTTAGATAAACTTTTTGATCACATTGGTTAGCTGTATGGTACTTCGTGCATAAATACTATTTGTGTTCTTGTAGGCTTTGAGCACACGTAAAAAATATTCAGTCTTTCTAAAGCTCACGCAGCAAAAAGCGTCCATTTATTGTTTAAATTGAGTTTTCTCCTTGTTCTTTGTGTTTCTCAACTCTTTCCACCATTACAAGCAAAAAACATTCAGTGGGGATTTTGGTTAATGGTTTACAATGATGAATTTACTGGCAAAGCTACACAATCAACCAGACCATGAATTGTGCAATAAAATAGCATTAATTCAAAATCATATTAGCCCTATTCGAACTCTGTTCAACATTAAAAGTATCAAACATTGCAATACACCTAATTGAAAAAACTTTGTCGGGTCCAAAAAGGTCAAATCATAGAAGCTAAGACCGAAAGGGTACTTGGGAAGACAAACAATTTGGCTAATTTCATACAAACAGCTCTGATCTCCAGCATAAAATACTAGCATGCTGTTAATCTTACTAGCTCTAGCTACTTGATTTACGGTGCACTTATACGCCGTATATGCAAATGTAATCCCAATTTAGTGGTACTCAAAATCCCTTTCGGTCTTAGCTTCTATGATGTGACCTTTTCGAACACGACTACGTTTTTTCAATTAGGTGTATTATTTTTAGTAGTTTTAGAGTTAAATACTCACCTAGTTCTCGCGGCAAACCACTGATTCAATTTGTTCGACGGTAAACTGTGGTACTACTTCTCTAATTTGAGCCGTTGTTGCGTTGTCTTCTCTCATAAAGCAAATTAAAGCTTCAAACTGACTGGACATCTCGCATTCTCTGCATGTGGTGATAACATTATTTACCTAATAGAAATGATATCACAATGAGTGAGATGTTTGGCGGTGTGCCTGGTATAGACCCCTTGCATGTGACGTCAAAACAGCTTCATCTGGAGGACAAAACAAAAGATTTTTATCCTCTGGGGAACTAGAATCTATTGTTTTGTCCTCCAGTTGGAGCTGCATTCCCATGAACTGCAAGGGTTCTATTCCGATGGTGCAACTTTCAGAATGTACTTCAAAGCGTACTTCCTTTTGTGAAACAATTAGCTATATTGTTTAGCTAATCTTCAAAGACAATGAAACTCTGATTGGGAATTAAAACTTGGATTAATATCAAACAAACAAGCGAAGGCTAAAAGTTCAACGTGCATCAGATTTGACGCGATTTTCTCACATATATAAATTTGCCATCTTTGAACTTTAAACCAAACAGAAAGCAGCTTTCAACAAGAGAAACGAACGCAAGATTTTCCTTTTAGATTCGACTTACTCCTTGTGTGCTGACATCCATCAATCGCGATATCCTCTCTGGTTTCTTCCCGTCGCAATGATACTCACAAATTTCGTTGATAGTTTCGTTTTTATTCAATCTACATTCCTTGTTGAAGCCTTGGTCTTCTGCCACGTTTTCGGCCATTTTCTTGAGAGCTTCATCGCTAAAGTAAGGGATTGCAATTCTCTGTGTACAAAGTTCAATTTTGTAGTTGTAAAACATCTTTGTTAATTCTATTATGCTTTGAAGTGTTCTATGCCCTTCCTTGCATTCATTCACGATGTGTCTGTAAAAATGAATTAAAAAGTGATTAAATACAGGCAAAATCTGCTCCTCTTCTGCCTTTGCATGCATGCACACCAGTGCCGGATCCAGGATTTTTCAAAGGGGGGTTCCTCTTTCTTTTCGCATTTTCCTWAAACGAAMCTTTTTTACTGTGCCTCTCGAACTGTAGCAAATGTAGTGTGAATGTATTGAATAAAAATTCATTGTACGATGCGTTTTCATTTTATTTCATTTATCATTTATTTTACTTTTTTTATTTTTTTATGCTTGAGGGGGGTTCCTAGGAACCCATGGAACCCCCCCTGGATCCGCCACTGCACATATATACACTGCTTCACATGTTATGTGTCTGATATGTTGTGTAGGGACGGGGAAAAAATAGAAGCAGAACACCTAGATCAGCCCCTTTCATGATTGTTATTTGATCACATGAAAAGTGGAAGCTTGCTTCAGTCATTATATCATTTACCTGACCATCCCAGCTCTATCTTTTAGACATCTATAAACGAAAGGCAAAGAGCCAATGGCATTTTCGTATAGATTACCAGCAAGAGTAACAATTTCATCAATGTCAGTGTTGTTTGGCATTCTTGAGAGGTACATTTCTGTGGCATCAATCATTTCTTGCATTCCATTTCCATCTCCTTGAATCTCTTTCATATTCTCTTTCATGTTTTCTAAATCTTCGAGGAAAAAATCACTTGACATTTGCTTGAGTAGCTCATCTTCAATCTGAAAAGATGAAATTTAGTATCATAGTGAAACTAAATGTCATTTAGAAACTGTCTAAGACCAAGATATAGGGTGCCCCTAGTTGGTAGGGCCAAAACAAAAGTCTAGCCCTAATAACTACATGGGTACCCTATGTCATGTTAACAGGCTCTAAGATTCATTCCTCGTGAAACCTAATCTTCGCTTTAAAATGATGCAAAACAAAGGAAAGACTAGACAATGTCATGGACTGTTTATAATTATCAAATCTCACCATAGATTACGGGATATCTATACTTCGTAAAGTAAAAATACAAGTTAAACTCCTTTTGGCTTGAAAAAAATGTACACCTCTTTTTCATAATCCACATGACTCTGACTTTACAATGGGTAGCGGTCGCTCATTTTACTGACATCGTCGACAGAGGGTGTACCTGGGCGTGGCCAGGGGGTAACTCCACAGCATGATAGATACTCATACCTTCAGCATTTCATTTTTGGCGTTTGTGACGTTATTGAGAATGTCGGTGTACGTTGCGTTGGCTTTCATCACTTCGTCGTATCCTCGTTTAGCTTCATCGAGAATCTTTTTGCAATCCTCTCGACCAAAGTTTTGAATTGCAGTGTAGATATCAAACGCTAAATAATTAAGTGACAGAACATGAGGGAAAAATATAATATAAATTGCCTTCATTCAATATAACGTCAGGCAGGGTGTTTATGTCGGAAAAGATGCTCAAAAACAGTGGAAATTCTGTACGATAGCAGAACTTCAATGTATCTATTTTTTTGTCATGCATCAAACATCGCTCAAGTACATTTTATTTTATATGCAGTCACTATGATTCCGACAACAATAATTCTTAGCGTTAAAACCATAGAATGCTTTGATGTGACGAAAAAATGCGATATCGAGAAACAAGCAAAACGTTAATTAGACTCTTGTAATTTTTTCCTATAAAATACAAAAATTCCAATGAGTCATTTCTGATGTGGTAGAGTGAACTCACTTAATCCGTGAAAGTTAAATAGTATATAATAATTTTAAATAAGCTGAACTCCTTTGTATTTTATTGTCTAATTAACACTATTTATTATTAATTAGTACTATTTGTTTCACGGATTTAGTGTGTCCACTCTACACACAAGATAACAATACTCCATTTACCTGCAAACATAAGATGGGATATGCCAGTAAACGCTTTTCCAATACCCTTCACGACTTTCAGTGCTTTCTCATACTTGCCGGTCATGAATGTTCTGAGAGCACTCTTCTTTGTCTTGATGAATTCTTGCGTTTTCGAAAACCAGCTGTTCAATCCCCGGAATAACTTCGTCTTGATTGAGGGCAGTTTAATGTTTTTAAACTTTTCAGTCAACTTAAAAAGATAAAATATATGGTCATGAAGGGTTGTAATTTTTACAAATAATATATGTAAGCTTCGGAAGCTTCTTCTTCTTTTTGTAATTATTTTATTCAAACAAAACCTTTTATCAGGATATCATTGATTTAGATTGTAGAATTATCCACACGTTAAATCCTTATTCCAAGAACATAGAGTAGAAAATGAGTATGTTGTTGATAACTAATCCCCGATATTGAACTCAAACAAAAAAGCCAAAGGAGTTTAAACGATAGGTGTTGCGGCACCGGGAAAATAAAATAGTTGAACATTCCCATTCATACAAACCTTGAACGCATTAAAATTTCTCATGCGTTCCTTTGCGAGTTTAAGCATCTTTGGGATACGTGGCATCAATACTGTGAAGGTTGGTATGGCTAGTTTTACAGTCTTGTCAATTCGTGTCCAGTACGTCTTGGCTACTGTAGCGTAATCAATCGATGTGCCAGTTTCTTGAGCTTTCAACAACATGTTCTTGGAGGAAAACAATCAATATTAACATTAGAATAGAACATCATTCCTCAGTGACGTTGCGAGATGTTCGGCGCGAAGCACTATGGGATTGAGTGAAGTACATCTTGTTGTGTTTAATTTTTCGTGAACAACAAACAAGTATTTTTAAAAATACTTATTTCCCAAACAAGTCTAGTGAGCAGGCATCTTATCTAATTGATTTGAAATCACTCTCAGCAATAGACTTCTGAACCTTTTACGTCACTACTTGATTTGCAATGCATTGTGGGATCAGTTTCTAGAGAAAACAAAAGAAATCCRCCATTTTCTGTCCCAAACATGTCCTACAATGCATTGCGTATACGGTACATGACGTAAAAGCCGCAGAGGTCTATTGATTACGTTGGCTTTGCAAAGAAACTTTGAAGTGTCCGCCATCTTGATTCTTCTAAAAATACCATGATGCATTTCGCGGAAACAAACGTGACGTCATAAGTTGAATGCGTCATCAAGGTGCGCAGTTTTAAAAATACCGGAAGCATTAACATTAAATCAAACCTCTATTTCAATTGTAGTGATGTTAAGAGCTTGAGCAATATCTGTGTCAACAATCTCCAAGAATTCTTCTGAAAGTTGGCCAGCCTCGTGCATTTCCTCCAGAGTTCCATTAAAGTTATAATTGAGATATTCGACCATGGCTTGAATATTTTTGGCTGAAAAATAGACAGTCTAAAATTAGTAGCAATAGAAAGTAAAGGCCATACTATATCAAGTTAAACAGAGGAATAGAGAGCTGTATTAAAATGTTCCTTTTGATATTCACTCAATAACAATTAAAAATAAAAATATTGGTATTGCGGTAACGGGAAAAATTAAGCTTACTTTCAAGCTGCAAAACGTTGACTCTTGAGCTTCCAGAATTAATCTCTTCAGAAACACTTTTTGCTGTGTCCGTGTACTCCTTTGCCCTTCTGCCATAATCAGTATTCTCACAAGGCTCGATGATKGTGTAAACGGTGGATATAATAGATATAATGCTTGTGATATCGTGGAAGTATTTGGAAYCGACTTGAAATCCCTTGAAGGCGTACGACAGTAAAGTCTTTGCTGAAGTAAAAACGGAAAAAGAATTCTATAACTATAACTCGTTAATTTGTTTATTATTTTTTTAAATTAGTTTTTTTTTGTTCGTCCAATTATTTACGGATTTTGTTATATAGAGGATATTACAAGGGTGCGCGAAGATACGGGTTTTAATCTTCGAGTGTTATAATCAGTTTATCATATAATTATCAATGAAAGCAAATGATGTTTTAAAATTATTGTCATTGATTTACTTCCAACATATGGAGAAACCTCGAATGTTATTTTCACTAGTGAAAATAACAACTTTACGAAATGGAGAAATATAGGTATTTCATAGATAATTATACGATAAATATATTTCTTAATTAGTTGATTTATTTGTTGGTTGTCTTTGAAATAGTTTAAGATTAAGACACCTTTCAATTAAACGACGTACCTGCACCGCTCCAACTGAAGCGCTTTGCAGTTTTTCCTGTGATGAGATTCTTTGTCTTTGAATTGTGAAACCGGTGAAGATGTCCAGTTGCAAACTCATTGAAAATGAGCAGAAAGCACATGTAAAATGCAACGTTTTTCATGTTTAAATTGATAGAAAGCTAAACAAAGAAACAAAAATGAAAAATAAAATGAGAAAATCTCGGCATTAAAACAGGACAATTGTATAAAATAATGTTAAAATATAACATTTACATTCAATTCAAATGGGAAATTTTGTGTTTTCTAAAAGTAATTCTAACCAAATTCAGTTTAGATTCGTAAAGATTACTGGATATCTTTGGTTAATTATGTGACGATCTCCAACTGTCAAACGCCATTGAGGTCTTTGTTCATAAAACGTAAAATTAATTATCATATTTTTTCAATTTTGAGGGAGGAGTAGTATTGAAAGTAGTGATATTTGGTGAGGTTCGAAGTTTTGATTGACGGGAGTATTTATGAAAATGGAACTATAACATTCAAGCTAGTTCGATAAAAATGCCAATAAAGACTACACGACTTACCCCAATTGGACCACTCCAGCAAGGTTCTTTAAGAAAAAAACAACTTAAGGAGACAAGTTGTGACAGTTCTTACTTTAGTCAACTTACGTTGCTAATCAGAACTGACTTAGAACTTGAAAGTTTGAATCTTCTCGTAGGCGTGAATTGCTATTGAAGTTGGATATCTTAACTTCCGTTGACAGGTTACGTGTTTAATATGGACTTCAAAATATAATTAAAAAAGTGTAATTAAAGTGAGGACGAGTAGCATATCAAGTTGAATATTTCAGATTTTCAGAATTATAGGTACTGACAAAATATTTGGGGCGAGAAAAATCACACAAAAAAATGACACAAATTTTGCCGGAGCAAATACCTTAAAAAAAGTGCGGTTTCAAGAGTCTGCAATCAACCATCTTTGAAGGATAGGACTCTCTTTTGGTGAACAACGGGAATGGGCTGTTTGCATTGTGCCTCGATTAGAAGGTGGAAAGCTTCATATGGGCGATAACTTACGATACAAAGAAAAACATACGCTTTCTTAGACAGAGCTCCCAGAATTATCTTTTGTCTCGCCTTCAGAGGAAAACGTCTTTACATGTTTAAAACTCGGATGCACAAGGGCTACCGTCTGCACGTTTTTTATGATTGAATTGTAATTTTGAGCGAATTTCTTGCAAAAATGATAAACATGTAATAAATTCATTCTTTAAAAAGAGCATTCCAGCTTTCCACAGGCCAGCATGTACCACCGGTACATACTTACGTATTTTAATGAAAAGAAAACATTGTAATAATATCAATCGTTTGTACAATGACCAGTCTATACCGGCACTCCTACTTCTGACATATTCCCCAAACTGAAGATTTAAAAAAAAGGTGAACCTTCACAAAGGCCGATCAAGGTAATTTTTTTAGATGTTACAAATGCATGTTTGTCATGTCCTGCATATAAAGTACCTTGCAAGCTAAGTTTCAGGGCATACTCAATATTACAGGGAAAACCGTTGTTCCAAGACATAGAAATTTTGAATTTTTGGATCTTTTTCTGCGACTTTGTACAAAAAAAAACACTTTAAAAATACATCAAGATGCTCTAGTGACGAGATTTGTGTTCAAAAAAGCCAAATAAAGTTGATTGATTAATGGAAACGTCGACCGAACTCGAAGCAAAGCCCAAAGGTCGCGCGATACAAAGACTTGTGATGTAAAGAATGAGCTTGATAGTTACATGCAGATTCCTTCACATCATGGATCATATTATCATCCATGCCTACATGTTAATATATGTTTTCCATTATAGGACGTACAATTCAAAGCCATAATGAATCGCCAGAAAGTGTTGGCGATTTGCTTTTGTGTTTTCGTACTCCTCAACGAAGTGGGACGCGTGCACCTTTATCGCCATTCTTCATCTTCGAAAAAGACGATTATTGGTGACGATGTCAATGGAATAATAAAGCAAAAGACGCAGCGTTTCGCAGTCCCCTCTAGTGCTTGTAAGTATTCAAAATAATGCAATACATTGGAAAAGGTAATATCGAAAAGCGGATTCCACCAAAATGATAGTAAAGCGTGAATATGGAGTAATAGATCCAACACAATAAACTAACGGTAACGGTTTCACCAATACTACCACAGCATCGTGATCAGGATTCGAGTCCCTCTCCGTAGATGAGTCACGTGTGAGAAGGCTTTATCGATGACTTGTTCTCTCCTTCAAGACAAGACCGTCTGTACCAATTTTAAAAGAGCGCTGCAAAGCTTCCTTCGTCAGACGGGAACCATAAATGCGAGCAGTAAAAGTGCATAAAATTTAATCTTAAAGAAGCACCAAGAAGAGATACGCCTCCCGCAGGAGACTTCGAGTTCTTCTGCATATTTTCTTAGATTTACATAGCAAGTTTAGATAATCACTAAAGATCGTATACAAGAAACCACGCAATATGCACTGTAATTCCTTTTCAACAAAATACCTCCAGTAACTATGATACTCTATTTTCAGTGGCTTACCTCCTGAAACTTGGATACGAAGGACTTCAGTTGGGAGCAGAGTTTTTTGCCGATATCACGACATTGGTGTCCATTGTCTCGACGTTCTATGCCGAGGCAGTTGATTGCATGTCTGGCAGTTATTCTGAAGTTTCTGAATGGTCAAAAGAGGCTGATGAAACCGTGACGTTTATCAACACCAACAGCCATAAAATCAACGAGATGCAACTTGAGAGTAAGTATGGGTGTGTCTCTTGGCGTCGTGAGGTCGTTACATTGCGACTCCTTTCTTTAAACGTTTCTTGGATACACCTATAAGAATAATAAAGAGATTTGTTCAATAATGGGTCGACGAATAACGTGATTAACTGATAAATGCTATTTAACCGGCTAACAATCTTCTTATCAAGTGCTGTAATCTTAATAATTGTAATTACACCACTCGCACACACGGTTTTAACCAAAGGCCACATCTTGTGATTGGCTTGTAAAAAAGAAAACAAAACCTAACAAGTAATAATTCAAGTTCTGTTCAACATTCAAAAAGCAGCTTTAAAAGGAAACTTTACCATGTGCTGTCTGAACTTTTATCTGTAGTATTTACCATTTCATTTGACTTGAATTCGACACATATGAGAATCGACGTTTGAAACGTGCCTAAGATCGCACATGGTGTCAGTACACTTTAATGATCTTATTTTGCTTTTATTGCAGTCAAGCAAACCCAAACCATTGCCGAGTCCCTCAACTATCATTATAACGAAACACTTAAATTGATCCAAGAAGTAGGAGGTTTGTCTGAAAACCTGCTGTACTCCGTTGACTCAAACCTTCCACAAGCTATCAATCAATCTAGTGTTGAAATCGAGGTAAGGATGAATCATACATCAAATATTCGTTTGTCTCCACGTGAGCAAAAGTTTTCCAATTTTGTGCTTGTAGTCTTTTAGTCTGCTTATGTTGTTTTTGGAAAGAATGTCGAAAATCTATAGGGCATATAGGCTACTCTTTGGAGTCTCGACCTTCAGGAGACTGGAACTATTGTATAGGATAGTTTACAACCCAAGCCTCTTTGTACCAGAGGATCTCGACTCTCAACATCAGTAGCTTTGTGTCAAATATCATTAGATTACGTGGGAGGTGCCTCACGGATGGACCGCAGCGGTCATCATTTATCCCAAGTTCCAAAAAAGTCTCCTTCACTGACAATGAATCCATTTATATGAAGCTCATCTACTCGTGATGAGTTTATATTCCTTTTTCTCAAATATTTATTCTCGTTTGTTTGTTGATTAGAAATTGGTTGCAGAGAAAGAAGGCGAAGAGGAAGAAGTCGACTATGCCGTGTTAACTGGAGACTGGGTTGATAAAATAGATAAAAGTGTTCAAGTCGCAGTTCCTGTTGTGACAACAGTGGTTCCTAGAATGCCCAAAGCTATCGAGTTTGCAAAGAGACGACTTGGGAATTTGAAAGGCCTTCACGTTAGTAATAAGTACTATACAATGTAACATCGATTTCTTATTCTTTGCTGCACGAAATTACAATATAACCTTCATCTATCTATTTAGTTACTTTCCAGGTTTAAGAATATAAAGCTTCCCACCATTAACTCAAAGGCCTTCAACGCCATGAGTAGCTGGTTTACAAAAGCTGGCTCATTCATAAAGGAAAAGGTTGGTCTGCTGCGAAGACACATTACGGGAAAGTATTCAAAGGCTTTAAAAGTTGTCAAAGGTTTGAAAAATGGATTTTTCATCCTAACTGGATACCTTGGTGGAGGTAAAGCGTGGTTTCTATTATTCTATTGAGCTAAATTGAATGCTGGATTCTTCTAATCAATACTTTAAGTGGGATCCCTCATGGCTGCAAGATCTTACTCGTCTCACGCAACGAAGAAAAAAGAGCCTAAATATCCATCAGTCATATCTTATAGATTAAGATCAGTGCTCTTTTATCGATATTTTCAGCTTTCAACATCTATAATACTGTAAAGAATTTTAGAAAATGCGAAGAAGTCAAAGAGCACACTTGGAAAGCTCTCGTGAAAGTAAGGAGCGCCAAACAATTGTACGATGAAATATGGAAGAACGTAACAGAAGCAAAAACAGCGATAGACAATGTAAGTTCATCGTTTTTGTTTACCATGACCTGTGATAATTTTGATTATACAGCATACTTATTGGCCAAGATGTTTGAAACTAGAGTATACTGTGGTTATTTTTAACAGCAATCCCTTCTCTCTCTTCTGCAGACATCAAAAGCAATTGTAGAACGTCTTTCAGACGATATATTATATTCTTACAAGTATATACAAGTGTTTTTTAACACCAGTACCTACTCTTTCTTCTGCAGGCGGCAACAGCAATGGTAGAACGTCTTTCAGACGATATATTCTTACAAGATCTTGAAAATACAAAAGAAAGCCTTTTTGCCATCCAAGGACCTAATCAGGGTTTACAAGAAATGATTGACACTACATCGCAATACATCGAACAAATTAAATCAACGACTGACATAATGCAAGTGCATAACTTGATGGTTGATCTTTACCAAAACGCATTGGGCAGTTTACCCTTTGTTTATAAATGCCTCATCGATAAGACTGACTTTGTGAGGTGGGTAGTGACAACAGGTTTTCTACAGATAAGACCAGAAAAAACTTCAGAAATATAGTCCACAATTATGTGAAGTTTGGTTATCTTATTTGATGGAGTTTGTTGGATGGAGTTTGAAGTCCATCAAATATTCCACCAACCCCAATCAACATTTGTTGTTTGTTTTGTTTTGTTTTGTTTTGTTTTGTTTTGTTTTGTTTTGTTTTGTTTTGCTTGATGTATAATGTTTGAATCTGTTTGCCCACCAAATAAATTTTACAATGACGATCGGTACAATCGGTATGTAGAACACTTATCTGGAGCAAAAATCTGCACAAAATCCACTAGTTTCTGTCATTGGAAGCCAATAACTTTTCGAGTGTTAATTGATGTCATTTCTTGCCAAGTAGACATCGTATTTTAAGGAAACAAGAGCTGATTTCTAAATTTCTACAGTTTACACCATATGCACTTGAAAAATTAATAAAAATTGTTTTTCGTACAGAAAAGTCATTGACAATTGCAAAAAAGGATTCGAAAGCTTGCAACAGAACATAGCAACAGCAAGGATTTTCCACAACTTCGAGATCAAGGAGTGTGAGAAGATGATCTCGGTACCAGATCTCACTGACGACGATATCATGAAAGCTGTGACCAAAGCCTCTGAAGACGAGCATTTTAATATGATATGCCCATTGAACAACGTGGAGGCTTTGAACCTAATATGCGAGTACCATTGCAACGGTCGTAGCATCAAGTACATGGCATCAAAACTGAAAATCGACAACCAGCAAGCGGTATGAGAAATTGCTCCCACATCCACGCACCAAGCTTCCCGATATGTTTCAAGGAAGCGAGCACTACCATTTGAGCTAAGATTGAAAAAAAAATACATAGATAATAAATCTATGGATTAATATTTTGAAGCAAATTGTCCTGTGTTTATTAAAAGGTTTTAGTTTTCAAGTCTTTGATCCAAACAGTAGTGGATAAGTGATGAAATGTTTGCCGAAAGAGTAAAGTGTCTTAACCAAAGTATATTTACTTGTGTCCTTAGATCAAAGATCACGTGAAGAAATGTCCACCATGCAACATAACAAAAATGATGAAGTCCATGATCTGCATGGAGCGAAATGACGGATCGAGTGATGAGTCGATTCAAGAGGAGTTATTTCCTATGCTGACACTCGAGCAAATTCAACAAGTAACCTGTCCTACCAAATAAGGTTTGTATTGCCATATTAGCATCGGATGTAAACACCATCGTAATAGCTAGACTTCGCCACTTTATTTCTACTAAAGCTCAAGAAGAATCTCTTGGATGACATGGGGCCTATTGATCAGCGCGCAAAGGTTGTTTCCAATGTCTGCTTCGTTCAGCATTTTATTATACAATTTAGTAAAATTATATTCTATTTGTGTCTTTCAGAATGATCTTGGCATCTGTGCGACTGCCTACAAGAAACTTAGTAACAGATAATTGCTTAGTCCACTTATTCTATCCAATTAATAATCGTATTAAATATACTAAGAAAACGACTCTTTTCCTGGCGTTTATTTGTACGTCGAATGTTTTTGTGTGATTGTTTTCCATTTCACATTTCACAGAACGTATTCTATACTATTTGAGTTTTAGATTTTTGAACGGATCGTTCCATAATACATATGATATGCTGCGTTTGCTATAGATTATATTAGAGTATTATGCTTTCTCTTGCATCAGTCAATGAATAAAAAACGTTGAAACACATTTGTTTTACGGTTCTCGTCACGTGATGCTGAAAACCCAACCCAATTCACGATCAGCCAGGGAAAGATTTTTACGAAGGTTGCATCGCGCTTTCCAGGGAAAGAAGTAGATCAAGTTCATTGTTGGCTTGTAAGTTGCGTCAACACCGCCATGTTGGATGTAGATCACAAAGCATTCCTCATTAGTTTCTCTTGTTCATTCATMCAACATGGCGGCGATAGCTTTGTTCTTCATTTCTCGTAGTGGATTTCCTGGTCGTGTGATTTCACACGAAGAGCAAAACGTATGACTACATTTACTCTAAAATTGTACAATCAGGCCGAGCACTGTGAACATTCAACATCTCGTGGTCTGCATTTTAAAAACAAGTCTTTTACCAGAGCTAGTCTAGTTCTATGATTCATTACGGACATTTTTCAATCTTTGTAATCGATAATAACTAGTTACCCTATGATTTTTTCGAACAGAAGACAACAGTAAAACAACTGTAATAACAAAATACTCGCAAAATATTATAGAAGTTAGAAAGAGTTCCAGGTACTTTAACCTTTCCACGGTGATAAGTAAACAAGTTGATTTGTATTGTCGCTCCTAATTACCATTTTTTAATTAAATGAGATTTAATGTCCGCTCATGAGCAATCAAAGACATATATTTCTTAACAATAGTTGTGGGGTTTACATTATTAAAGCGATGACCTTTTTTATATCTTCTACGATTTTTTCCTATAGGATTTTCTTACTTTTTTTATTGTATGCAAATAACTATTCTATTCTTTGATATTTTAGGATAGTTTCAAATTAAATGAAGTTAAATAGATATTACACTGATACACCTTAATACGCTCTAATTGCATTGTTTTCTTTTGTGTCTATTTGACTATCACACTTTAATAGTCAAATTTTCGTTCACGGTTTTTATGTCGACTTTTAATACTAAATAGTTTTCACAATAAAAAGCAATAGAGCCGATGCACTTAATCCGTGAAACTTAATATCATAATATACAAGCACTAAAAGTGTCCAAGTTAAGAACAATTATTCGAGAAAATCACCGAAAGAACGACAAAAGAGGGCGGTGATTTTAAATGGTTTTGTCGATATCAACACTAATTACAAGTCAAATGTTCATTCAATAATGTTTCATGTCATGACAACCGAACCAAAAAGAAAAAAAATTGATGACAATTAAATGGCGTGGGGTAATAAGCTAAGATACTTGTCGCGAGATTAAAGTCTATCGGCAGTTGAATTTTGGAAACTACATTGAAAGGTTAGTGGTAAACTACCTTTATACATTGAGAAAGATTGTGACATCTTTTTTATCAATGTGAGCTAGTACTGTCTTTTGCATATCTATTGAAGAGCTGAGTTTAGTTTTACTAGAACTGCGTTTGACAATCAACTTAGTAGAGACGCTGTGTTTAATGGAATTCGTTCAGTTGTAATTATCTAGAGAAAGAGACCTAACAATTTTTATTAGTGTAATGCCTTTTTCACGGTATTTTTTTACTTCATTTTAAGTAAAAACTATTACTTAATTGCCTCAATTATGGATTTATGATATTGATTTTTCCGATACCTCAACATCTTTGTTATTTCTTGGCAAATAAACATCACTGCCAGTTTAATATTGGTATCAACGAAGTGGCTTATTGGTCTATTGCAATCTGGGACGATTAAATTTCTCATCAATATTACCATATAAGGCAATGACATTGTCTTCAGTTAATTCATATTGTGTGGAAAGGAATAGAAGAGGATGAACCTTTAAGTTGCTATGTACATTTGTTTACATGTAACCACAATCTTTGATAATCCATAATATAAAATTTGCTCTGTTAGGTTTCAAGATGAACCGGGCTGGCCGAATCGCCGTTTACTTCTGCTTGCTGTTGGTTCTGAACGAGTTTGGACCTGCGCACTTTAAAAGAGTTGGACTGCATGAATTGAAGCTGTCGAAGCCAAAGACTGGTTTGTTTCCATTATACTGCAAACCCCTTTATATATATACCAGTTTCTTCTAACGTTTAGATTCTATCAGACTAATAGTATTATTTCCTGCGAAGCCATCTTTGCATCTGGCTGGTCTTCAATAGACACAAACATAAGCATAGCGATAAGCATAAAGGCTTTCCCACACGACATAAGCACAGGAATGTTTTTCTCATGACATAAGCATAAGAAAAAAGACAAGGACAACGAACAAGTATGTTCCTTATTGCTATGCTTATCGTTATGCTTCCGCGCTAGTGAAAATGACTAGTAAAAACCAGCTTTCAATGCATGTAATGATCTAAGGTTATTTAAATTTCTATTTAGAGTCTGGAGGCGAAAAACGAAGTGTATTAGGTAAGATTGATATATCGTATAGAAACAGTACAGTTGGACTAGAGCGGATTTCGTATGAGTGGGAAACGGACGGTACTGTACTTTGCCCGTAATCGTACTGTAACGAAATTCTAGTGCCCCATTGTTTCACCAAAATTGTGCAGGCCAGGTGCGGTAACTGTGCGGTAACCGTGCGGTAACGGTGTCCCACTCATACGAAATCCGCTCTATAACTACGTGGTATTCTTGAGGGATATTTATTTGTATGTAAGATGAGACCTATAAGGGAGGCATTGTCACCTTGCAACAAGTGAATTGGAATCAATACACCTTTTCAGTTGCTCTTAGACCTCGACAGCGTGTTGAATATTCTTTTGAATTTGTAGGAATGTGAGCAATGCAAACATTGATATGAATAGTCTCATTTGTCAAATTCAAAAGAATATTAAATTAACTTGCTATCGAGGCCTAAGTGCAACTGAAAATGTGTATGGAAATGATTTATCAGAAATTGTGTTTGTACATTTTAGGGGTCTTTCATGGACTTAGAACGCAACATTTTGAAATGTAAAAACGACTATTTTACCTTCAGGAACCTTTGGCAAATATGTTCTTAAGTCTCTAGTTGTTGGATCAAAATTTCTGGAACAGGCAACAACAATAGCCACTATCATCGGAACATTTTATAACCTTGTGTCCCAGTGCTGTGATGGCGCATATAAACAGACCTGTGAGTTCACAAAAGAAGCTAAAAACATTCAAGTTGAACTGGAAGAGAAGAAAAACGAAATGAGGGATATACTCCTTGAAAGTAAGTACCACAGGTAACCCATAATCGGAAACGCCCGTAATAAAAGCCAGGGGAGATCGTTTGCATTGGACAATATTCCTCAGGCTAAACTTATGACTCATTTCTTTTTTCACTGCATTTGACAGCAAAAAATCTCGAGAGCATGATAATAATGGCGCAGACAGAGTTTAATTACACGGTGTTGGAAATGCATAAAATCGGCCAAGCGTCGGGAAGACTTCTGAAAAGCATAAGCAGCAACATTACGCTAGAATTGAACTTATTGGACAACAAACTTGAGGTAACTACAAGGGATATATGAAGATCTTAACCCTTCTTACGACCACCCTTGTCATAACGGCCGAATTTTTACCTCCCGGCGAAATAAACCCCATACTTTCCTACCCGGTTAAAACGGTCACCCTGTTAATACGGCCCTTTTCGTTGCCCGGGTTAACGAGGATTCACTGTATTTAAAACTCTCAATAGGCGATGTGCAGCGACGCCATTTTATGAAGCAAAGCATGATGGTAGTTGTAGTACTCGTGTTTATTAGATACCTAAAATATCTCCCTAAGAGCCGTTTTTACATTTTCTTAGTAGAAACGGTATAATTACTTCTAATTTTGCTTAACAAAAGCAAAAACTGCCAAGGAGGACTGTAGTAGCGGACATAAAAATAGTAAGAGCACTACAGCTAAAATCATTCTTGGCTTCATAAAAGGACGTCACCGCACATTGGCTATTACAAAATTCAATATCTTGTTTTATATTTATAGACCCTAGTTCAAGAGAAAGCAGCTTTAAATCAAACCATACAATATGTTAAAATTGAGACGCAATATTTCGACGTTCTCGATGGTGTGCTTGGCATTGCATTGCCACTGTTTACGTCAATCATACCATCCATTCCAAAGATGCAGAAATGGATCAAGGGTCGTATGGGAAGATACAAAGTTTACGAAGTAAGCATAATTATATAAAGAAACTTCCAGGGCATAATGTTTGGACCATCGTTTTGGTGTTCCATACATTCTGTAGCTTTGCTGTTGTTATTGTTGCTGCTGTTGTTGTTGTTGTTATTGTTGCTATTGTTGTTGTTTTTGTTGTCTTATAGTGCGTCTAATCGACTTGTGTACATCGAGAAAAATTGTTCTCTGTTGTTCTTAAGCATGACTGGAGTTTTTGTCGTCCTTGACTGGCATTAGTTGTAGATGACGCGATCTTGCCTGTCATGACAAAGATAAGCCTAACACAACTTGAATAAAATTTGAAATCCTTCAGCTTGATCATTCCCTGGATGCCAAAACAATCGAGCCTCCCAAGAAGGGATCCGATAGATACAAAGCAGGAAACAGTTGGTTTGGAAAACAAAGTTCAAAGATTGTTTACAAAATTGATAAAGTCAAGTTTACTCTTCAAACGAAGTACGAAAAGGCACTGAACGTTGCTAAGAAAGTCAAAGAAGGTGTAGGTGTAGCTTTGTCTTTCATCCAAACAGGTAAGCCTACGAAATCGTGACAATTTTGTTGCAAGTAGTATGTGGTATTGATATTTTCCATGAATGATAATTGTTTTGAAATATCCTTAACATGATTATCGTATAGTTATTTAAATTTTCTTTCTTGCTGTGTACCAAGAATATCATCTAATAATGTCTTGCGCGCCTCTTGTATCATACAATTTCGTTATCTCCTTTTATATTCAGCTTACAACATCTACCTGCTGTACAAACAATTCACAAAGTGCGAAGAAGCTTTCAAAGAAGCGGAAAAAGCAGTCACAGAGCTACGAAAAGCAAAAGACGAAATGAATAGAATTTATGAAGAAGTTGTTGAAGCTAAGACTAATATGGAAAAGGTACCGTCACCGTCTGCCTATAGGATATATAATTAAGCCCAAGCATTCTACTACACTTCTCCACATACATGCAATTACATATAATTGGAAGACGCTCCAAATTCAAAGACAATTATTATTATAACCGATTAAAACGCATTATTTTCATCTATGATTTTCTTCAGGCAAGAGACACCCTCAACGAACAATTGACGTCAGAAATATTCTTGTCAGACCTGACAGAATTAAAGGAAACCATTAGCAAGCTTACAGGAGAWGGAACTGATGCGGATTTGCAGAATGTAATTATCGCTTCAATAGATCGATATATCAATGGAATCAAGGACAAAGATCCAGAGTTTGTCGAGACTGTTAAGTTAATCTCGAAACTCTATGAGGGATTGGGTCAACTATCRACTTATTTTGATTGTTACTCTGCCAAGGCAAACGTTGTAAGGTAAAATGATACCTTTTCTTATACAGAAATGTGAAGATAGAGACAGACATTTTTCATTCGTATCTATTTAGGAACACAAACGTACTTTCTCTGCTTAGAAAGTAGCGAGTCGTTGTTATGTGTGTACTATATTATATTATGAGTGAGTAACACTCCTTAACTCTTCAGCGAAGGGTGGTGGTGAGACAATATACCAAGAAAAACGTTTTAAGGTGAAGTGTGGTCTCTTCTTTTCAGAAGTGGGGAGAACAATACTTCTTTGCAGTATTTCTAGGGAATACAAAGCATTTTTGCATCATTAGGGAGGGATATAGATATTCAGGGAGAGCAAAAATATTCGAGCTGGTTTGGTGCATTCTGTCGATTGCCAACAGGCAAACATGGTAATCATGAGTTTTTGTACAAGGATTAATTATTATTCACAATTTTTCTGTTCTTTCTAAGGTACGTTGTGGAGAGTTGCCAGGAAGGACAAGGCTCCTTTGCTACATTGAAGACAAGTGCTTTTAATCGTTATGAAGACCAGAACGAATTGTGCAATCAAAAGATAGGGATTGCGCCATTTTCTGACGACACCTTACAAAATGCAATTGACCAGAGATCTCAGGAATTTGGCTTCAACAGAATTTGTGAAGCCAACGACGAATTTGAAAGAGAGAAAGTCTGCGATAGATATTGTAGTGGTAGAAATAAAGAAGATTTGGGGCATGCACCAGAAGTTGTAAGTATCGTATTAAACACACCAACCTAAATAAACCAATCCGCAGCGACGCCATTTTATTCAGCAAAGCATGATGGTAGATGTAATACTCGTACTTTTTGTAGTAGACCCTAAAAGATCTCTCTAATAGCCGTTTGTAAATTGTATATGTAGAATCGTTTCAACTACTTCTAATTTTGCTTAGGAAAATCAAAAAGTGCTTAGGAGGACTGTTGTAGTGGATATAAAAAAGTACGAGGACTACAGCTACAATCATGCTTTGCTGCACAAAAAAGCGTCGCTTCGCTATAACTGAACCACATACGCGACAATCAATCAATGAACAAAATATGCATCATGCAAACCGAACTCACAATGCACGTATTCTATTACAGATCGAGGAATTTATGAAGGGCTGTACATGTGAGATACAAGGACGTATTAAAGCTATGGCATGTAGGCTACTGAAGAAAAAATCCCCCCAGCAAGTTTTCGAGGAGTTGTTTGTAGACCTAGGCCTTGACGACCGATACTCTTTACAACAACTCGAACAGCTTGATTGCAGCAGCGAATCATAGGTAAGTACATACGTAACAAGTGACGTCAGGCTCAACTCTGACGTCAAGACTGGATCGAGAATTCACTAGTACCACTCAATCAATAAAAAAAACAAGTATGTATTTTGAATGAAATTACACAATAATAAGATTTCTTTCACCTTTTCAGAATGGCAGAACACTGGTCAGGTGGCACAACACGGGCACAACAGAGAAGCATAGAGCATGGCTAGTTATCAGATATAACATGTTTTAATAAGACAAAAAATAAACAGAGAATAAAAACTATTTTATTGAGTCACTTGGTTTTATAGGTAACTCCGAATTTTTTTCTTTCTTTCTATCTTCCTTTATGATTGCTCATTCATTAGTGGACATGAAATCTCTCTACGTCCTCTACACATTTAAGATTTTAATTAAAAATTGGTAATTAAGAGCGACAATAATACAATGATACAAGGCCAAAATTATATTAACGAATAATACATTTTGTATGGCAATATCGATCTGCAAATATTTGTTCTTAAAAATCTTAAAAAATTTTAAAAGTTCTATATTCACTATAATTCTTTGATATTACACTTATACACCTTAATACGATTTAATTGCATTGTTTCGTTTGTGTCTCTTTGACTATCCTACTTTAATAGTCAATTTTTTCGTTAACTCTTAAGTGCAAACGCTAAATGTGTTTGCTCTATTTACTACAAAACACTTTTAACACTAGAAAACAATAGAGTCGACACACTTTATCCTAAAAACTTAAATATGTAGAACGTGGTATACAAACAAAAGTGTCCAAGTTAGAAACAATTCGAGAAAATCAASCAAAGAACGACGAAAGAGGCCGGTGATTTTTGAAATATTTTTTTCCGATATTAAACTTAATTAAAAAGAACAGAGAATACTTGTCAAGCACCTGAAGTGGCGTCTTTAACTCATTCAATAATGTTTCATGSCATGACAACCGAACAAAAATCATTTGTGCGTCTTGACAGGAATTTGATTGTAATTAAGTGACTGGTGGGGTGAAGTAATAAGCTAAGATACTTGACGTGATTGAAGTCTATCGGCAGTCGAATTTTGGAATCTACATTGAAAGGTTAGTGGTTAACTACTGTTATAGACCCGGAAAGGATTTCTTTCTTATTTTTGATCAATTGATAGAGTATTTTCTTTTTTATATCTATTGAAGAGCTGGGTTTATTTTTACTAGAACTGCATAAAAGCGTCTGACAATCAACTTAGTAGGAACGCTGTGTCTAACGCAATCCGTTCAGTTGTAATTATCTAGATAAAGAGACGCGATAATGTGTATTAGTGCAATATTTTTTTCGCGTTTGTCATCAGTTTATACTGTGCTTGTATAGGAATAGAGGAGTATAAACTTTACTTTTTTATTGCATTTTATGACCATAATCTCTGAAAATCCATATAAATCTAACGAAATTTGTTSTTTTAGGTTTCAAGATGAACCGGGCTGGCCGAATCGCTGTTTACTTGTGCTTGCTATTGGTTCTGAACGAGTTTGGACCCGCGCACTTTAAAAGAGTTGGACTGCATGAATTGAAGCTGTCGAAGCCAAAGACTGGTCTGTTTGCATTATACTGCAAACCCCTTTATATATACCACTGTTTCTTCTAACGTTATAGTTTCTATTAGACTATAATAAAATGATTTCTTGCAAAGCTATCTTTGCAGCTGGCTGGTTTTCRCTAGACACCAACATAAGGAGCAATGTTTTTCTCTTGACATAAGCATACATAAGCATAAGAACAAGCACAAGGAAAACGAACAAGCTTGTTCCTTATTGCTATGCTTATAGTTATGCTTYTGCGCAAGTGGAAACACTCTAACAGGTTTCGTTCTCTGTGTTGATGCTTATGTCTATTGAAAACCAGYTAGTCTAATGCTTGCAATGATCTAAGGATTTTTCCATTTTGATTTAGAATCTGGAGGCGAAAAACGAAGCATAATAGGTAAGATCAATATATATCGTTTACAAACAGTGCATTTGGCCTATAATGTCAYGGGTATTCTTGAGAGAYATTTAGATCGTTCAAATRCATGGTTTGCATTGGTAAGCAAGCCGGGATCTAAGCAGGGCATTGGCACCTCGCCWTTTATSAATTGGAATCAATAAAAATGATTTATCAATCCTGAAAGCTTCATTACTAGAGAAATTGTGTGTTTCTTTTTATATTTTATCTATATTCATCATTGAACGGATGGGGGTCTTTCATGGGCTTGAAAATATAACTTTTTTCAATGTTTTAAAACGACTACTTTACCCTAATATAAGGAACCTTTGGCAAATATGTTCTGAAGTCTCTAGTTGTTGGATCAAAATTTMTGGAACAAGCGTCAGCAATAGCCACCGTTATCGGAACATTTTATCACCTTGTGACCCARTGCTGTGATGCATATCCACAGACGTGTGAGTTCACAAAAGAAGCGAAAAATATTCAAGTTGAACTGGAAGAGAAGAAAAACGAAATGAGRGATATACTCCTTGAAAGTAAGTAGGCTAAGTACCACAGATAACCATAATCGGAAACGCCCGTAATGAAAGCCTGGGGARATCGTTTGCATTGGACAATATTCCTCAGGCTAAACTTTTTTCTTTTTTCACTGCATTTGACAGCAAAAAATCTCGAGAGCATGATAATAATGGCGCAGACAGAGTTTAATTACACGGTGTTGGAAATGCATAAAATCGG